ATTAGGGCAACTAAGACGTAGGTGACCTCTCTGCCCGCAGTATAAACAGAGACCCTCCCTTCTTCTGTACTGTCTCTCAGCCTCAGATAAGCGAGTATTACCTATTTGCATAGGTTCTGGTGGAGTAGGATTATAGGAGTCAGGGTTCTGAAATGAGGGAGCGAGTCTTACAGGAAGTCTAGTAACTCTTTCCCAAGTGTTCTGCCTCTGTCTCATGCGTTCATCTATTCTGGAAATGAAGGATACTAAATCCTCTAAATTTTCCGGAAGTTCTCTAGTGGCAATTTCATCTAGAATTTCATCAGACAACCCATTCAAGAAAACATCCATAAAAGCTTGTTCGTTCCATTTCACTTCTGCTGCCAATGATCTAAACTCTAGAGCATATTCTACAAGGGTCCTATCTTGTTGTTTAAGGCGTAACAGGGATCTGGCCGCATTAATCTTCCTCCCTGGGGGGTCAAAGGTTCTTCTAAAAGCCGTGACAAACGCAGTGTAGTTGTAGACTAAAGGATTGTCATTCTCCCAAAGGGGATTGGCCCATCTAAGTGCTTTATCTATTAGCAGGGTTATGATAAAGCCTACCTTAGCCCTGTCAGTGGGGTAAGCCCGGGGTTGTAGTTCGAAATGTATACTTATCTGGTTTAAAAAACCACGACAAGCATCAGGCGAACCCCCATATCGTAATGGTGACGTGACATGGGAAGATGCGCCTACAGTGGCTACTTCCAAACCAGTACTTAGGGAGTGGCTAGCAGTGGAACGTATTTCTTCAGACTGGGTACTGGAGCGTGTCAACAAAGTTTGTAATGCTAAAGCCATTTGGTCCATTCTATGGTCCATGGCCTCAAATCTGGGGTCAGGAGGACTAGCACCTGCAGGATCCATCATGGCCCTGTCGTAATGTCAGGAAACTGACAGGGATCCAATACGCAGAGTGCGCACAGAAGGAGGTACGTATACCGGACCTTAGAATGGCCGGACTAACGTAAGGACAAAGCAAGAATAGTCAAAAGGTAAGCCGAGGTCAAGGGAGCCGGAGGACAGGTAAGCGAGATACAAGCCGAGTCAAAGGAGAGGAGAGGACAACAGGACAAAAGACAAGCAAGGGTCAAAACCGGAAACACAAGATAAAGAACGCGCTGAGTGACTAGCAAGCTAGAACCACGACAGGGCAATGAGCAGTAGTAAAGGTTTCCTTTAAATACCCTGTAACCTAAATAGAGACCACGCCCCCAAAAGGTCCGGAATAGCGGTTCCCGGCACTTTATGCAAATGCCGACGTCATGACGTCGACGCTAGCCGTCGCGTCATAAAAGGGGGAGGAGCTAGCGCGGCCGGCGCGAAAACGGACGGAATATGCCGAAATGCTAGGGGAAGGGAGCCCCTAAGCAGAGAGGATGTCCTCCCTGGATACATCACCAACAGGTACCCTGACAATAACTGACCATCAATCCATTAACTAACTCCCACTCAATCCCATTAATTTACTCCCACTCAATCCATTAACAAACTCCCACTCAATCCATTAACTAACTCCCACTCAATCCATTAACTAACTCCCACGAACTCCCACTCAATCCATTAACTCTCACTAACTCCCACTCAATCCATTAACTCTCACTAACTCCCACTCAATCCATTAACAAACTCCCACTCAATCCATTAACTAACTCCCACTCAATCCATTAACTAACTCCCACTAACTCCCACTCAATCCATTAACTCTCACTAACTCCCACTCAATCCATTAACTCCCACTCACTCCCATTAACTTCTACTCAATCCATTAACTCCCACTCGCCCTGAATCCCATTAACTCCCACACACCCTGCGGCTCGGTGAGTCTAAAAATTCCTGCTTAGTGTGAATCGAGCACATTGGATTGGCCTAGAATTAGAAATTCACCCCAGGTGAGTATTGTCTAGAATTCAAAGTTTAAAACCAAAGTCAGACTGTCATGCCCTCGATCAGGTCAGATAGACGACGATTGCCAGCGTTAACTGAAATGGCTTTATTTACAGGTTTTGGCATTACAGCAGTAACGTAGTAGATAATAAGGATAAGGAAAGGGAAATATAAACGTTAAGGCAATATGCCCTTTAAAGAAAACAACCAAGTGTGCCAAATAATAAGCTGGAGAAAGTATCGTAAGAATAACAAGACAGGAATAGGAACTAATAAGAGTCAGGGAAAGAAAAGCAACAGTTTATAAATCAATATGTTCTGCACTGTCCAGATTAGATAAGGAGTAGGGGTTGTTGCAATTAAGGTAGGATGCAACGCAGGTAAGTACCGGAGTGTAGATAATCCAAGTAGGATGCAATGCAGGTAAGTACCGGAGTGTAGATAATAACCCAAGTAGGATGCAATGCAGGTAAGTACCGGAGTGTAGATAATAACCCAGGTAGGATGCAATGCAGGTAAGTACCGGAGTGTAGATAATAACCCAAGTAGGATGCAATGCAGGTAAGTACCGGAGTGTAGATAATAACCCAAGTAGGATGCAATGCAGGTAAGTACCGGAGTGTAGATAAAAACCCAAGTAGGATGCAATGCAGGTAAGTACAGGAGTGTAGATAATAACCCAAGTAGGATGCAATGCAGGTAAGTACCGGAGTGTAGATAATAACCCAGGTAGGATGCAATGCAGGTAAGTACCGGAGTGTAGATAATAACCCAAGTAGGATGCAATGCAGGTAAGTACCGGAGTGTAGATAATAACCCAAGTAGGATGCAATGCAGGTAAGTACCGGAGTGTAGATAATAATCCAAGTAGGATGCAATTCAGGTAAGTACCGGAGTGTAGATAATAACCCAAGTAGGATGCAATGCAGGCACAGGAGGTAGATAATCCAAGTAGGATGCAGGAGCAGGTGGGGTACAGGAGTGTAGATAAGAACCCGCGATGCAATGCAGGTAAGTACCGGAGTGTAGATAATAACCCAAGTAGGATGCAACGCAGGTAAGTACCGGAGTGTAGATAATAACCCAGGTAGGATGCAACGCAGGTAAGTACAGGAGTGTAGATAATAACCCAGGTAGGATGCAACGCAGGTAAGTACCGGAGTGTAGATAATAATCCAAGTGGGATGCAATTCAGGTAAGTACAGGAGTGTAGATAATAACCCAAGTGGGATGCAATTCAGGTAAGTACCGGAGTGTAGATAATAACCCAAGTAGGATGCAACGCAGGTAAGTACCGGAGTGTAGATAATAATCCAAGTAGGATGCAACGCAGGTAAGTACCGGAGTGTAGATAATAATCCAAGTAGGTGCAAACGCAGGTAAGTACCGGAGTGTAGATAATAACCCAAGTAGGATGCAGTGAAGGTAAGTACCGGAGTGTAGATAATAATCCAAGTAGGATGCAATGCAGGTAAGTACCGGAGTGTAGATAATAATCCAAGTAGGATGCAACGCAGGTAAGTACCGGAGTGTAGATAATAACCCAAGTAGGATGCAGTGAAGGTAAGTACCGGAGTGTAGATAATAACCCAAGTGGGATGCAACGCAGGTAAGTACAGGAGTGTAGATAAAAACCCAAGTAGGATGCAATGCAGGTAAGTACAGGAGCGTAGATAATAGCAATTGCAGGATGCAATGCAGGTAAGTACAGTGTAGATAGCAGCAAGTAGGATGCAGCGCAGGTAAGTACGGAGTGTAGATAATACTTCCAAGTAAGGATGCAAAAGCGCGGTAAGTACAGAGTAGCGAATAGCCAGCGGTAGGATACGCGCGGTAAAGTACGGTGTAGATAGCCAATCCCAAGTGGGATGCAATTCAGGTAAGTACAGGAGTGTAGATAATAACCCAAGTAGGATGCAACGCAGGTAAGTACCGGAGTGTAGATAATAACCCAAGTAGGATGCAGTGAAGGTAAGTACCGGAGTGTAGATAATAACCCAAGTGGGATGCAACGCAGGTAAGTACAGGAGTGTAGATAAAAACCCAAGTAGGATGCAATGCAGGTAAGTACAGGAGTGTAGATAAAAACCCAAGTAGGATGCAATGCAGGTAAGTACAGGAGTGTAGATAATAACCCAAGTAGGATGCAATGCAGGTAAGTACCGGAGTGTAGATAATAATCCAAGTGGGATGCAATTCAGGTAAGTACAGGAGTGTAGATAATAACCCAAGTGGGATGCAATTCAGGTAAGTACCGGAGTGTAGATAATAACCCAAGTAGGATGCAATGCAGGTAAGTACCGGAGTGTAGATAATAACCCAAGTAGGATGCAATGCAGGTAAGTACCGGAGTGTAGATAATAACCCAAGTAGGATGCAACGCAGGTAAGTACCGGAGTGTAGATAATAATCCAAGTAGGATGCAATTCAGGTAAGTACCGGAGTGTAGATAATAACCCAAGTAGGATGCAATGCAGGTAAGTACCGGAGTGTAGATAATCCAAGTAGGATGCAACGCAGGTAAGTACCGGAGTGTAGATCTCTCACAGGAGCCAGGAACTGAAGTAATAGAGTGAACACCAACTTCAATGTAAAGGCCCCCTACCTTGCCGGGAGTGGCCATTTATAGCAGACTTTTTTTATAAGATACAGGTGATTAAGAGGAGACTAGTGACTAGGGAGGCCACTAGAGGTGAAAACCAGGTATTGTATTTAAAGGGCCGGTTATAAATGAAAAAGTCTTACTTGTCAGTCTGGGAACCTGACAGAGACTGGAAGTTAGCTGGAATGAAATTCACTTTGCATTGCCGACAATTCTCACTATAGTAAGTAACCACGCTGGAGTTACTGACTGTGTGTGTGTTAGTAAATAACCACATTGGAGTTACTGACTGTGTGTGTGTGTTAGTAAATAACTGCGTTGGAGTTACTGACTGTGTGTGTGTTAGTAAATATCCGCATTGGAGTTACTGACTGTGTGTGTGTGTGTGTTAGTAAATATCCGCATTGGAGTTACTGACTGTGTGTGTGTTAGTAAATAACCGCGTTGGAGTTACTGACAATGTGTGTGTTAGTAAATAACCGCGTTGGAGTTACTGACAATGTGTGTGTGTTAGTAAATAACCACGTTGGAGTTACTGACAATGTGTGTGTGTTAGTAAATATCCGCATTGGAGTTACTGACAATGTGTGTGTTAGTAAATAACCGCGTTGGAGTTACTGACAATGTGTGTGTGTGTTAGTAAATAACCGCGTTGGAGTTACTGACAATGTGTGTGTGTTAGTAAATATCCGCATTGGAGTTACTGACTGTGTGTGTGTGTGTGTTAGTAAATATCCGCATTGGAGTTACTGACTGTGTGTGTGTTAGTAAATAACCGCGTTGGAGTTACTGACAATGTGTGTGTGTGTTAGTAAATAACCGCGTTGGAGTTACTGACAATGTGTGTGTTAGTAAATAACCGCGTTGGAGTTACTGACAATGTGTGTGTGTTAGTAAATAACCACGTTGGAGTTACTGACAATGTGTGTGTGTTAGTAAATATCCGCATTGGAGTTACTGACAATGTGTGTGTTAGTAAATATCCGCATTGGAGTTACTGACTGTGTGTGTGTGTGTGTTAGTAAATATCCGCATTGGAGTTACTGACTGTGTGTGTGTTAGTAAATAACCGCATTGGAGTTACTGACAATGTGTGTGTGTTAGTAAATATCCGCATTGGAGTTACTGACTGTGTGTGTGTGTGTGTTAGTAAATATCCGCATTGGAGTTACTGACTGTGTGTGTGTTAGTAAATAACCGCGTTGGAGTTACTGACAATGTGTGTGTTAGTAAATAGCCGTGTTGGAGTTACTGACAATGTGTGTGTTAGTAAATAGCCGTGTTGGAGTTACTGACAATGTGTGTGTTAGTAAATAACCGTGTTGGAGTTACTGACAATGTGTGTGTGTGTGTTGGTAAATAACCGCGTTGGAGTTACTGGCTGTGTGTGTGTGTTACTGACAATGTGTGTGTGTTAGTAAATAACCCATTGGAGTTAGTGACAATGTGTGTGTGTGTGTTAGTAAATAACCGCGTTGGAGTTACTGACTGTGTGTGTGTGTGTTAGTAAATAACCGAGTTGGATTTACTGACTGAGTGTGTGTGTGTGTTAGTAAATAACCGCGTTGGAGTTACTGACAGTGTGTGTGTGTGTGTTAGTAAATAACCGCGTTGGAGTTACTGACTGTGTGTGTTAGTAAATAACCGCGTTGGAGTTACTGACTGTGTGTGTGTGTGTTAGTAAATAACCGAGTTGGATTTACTGACTGAGTGTGTGTGTGTGTTAGTAAATAACCGCGTTGGAGTTACTGACAGTGTGTGTGTGTGTGTTAGTAAATAACCGCGTTGGAGTTACTGACTGTGTGTGTTAGTAAATAACCGCGTTGGAGTTACTGACAATGTGTGTGTGTTAGTAAGTAACTGCGTTGGAGTTACTGATAATGTGTGTGTGTGTGTTAGTAAATAACAGCGTTGGAGTTACTGACAATGTGTGTGTGTGTGTGTTAGTAAGTAACTGCGTTGGAGTTACTGATAATGTGTGTGTGTGTGTTAGTAAATAACCGCGTTGGAGTTACTGACAATGTGTGTGTGTTAGTAAGTAACTGCGTTGGAGTTACTGACAATTTGTGTGTGTTAGTAAATAACCGCGTTGGAGTTACTGACTGTGTGTGTGTTAGTAAATAACCGCGTTGGAGTTACTGACAATGTGTGTATTAGTAAATAACCACGTTGGAGTTACTGACAGTGTGTGTGTGTGTGTTAGTAAATAATCCATTGGAGTTAGTGACAATGTGTGTGTGTGTGTGTTAGTAAATAACCGTGTTAGAGTTACTGACAATGTGTGTGTTAGTAAATAACCATGTTGGAGTTACTGACAATGTGTGTGTTAGTAAATAACCACGTTGGAGTTACTGACAATGTGTGTGTGTGCTAGTAAATAACCCATTGGAGTTACTGACAATGTGTGTGTTAGTAAGTAATCGCGTTGGAGTTACTGACTGTGTGTGTGTGTGTGTTAGTAAATAACCGCGTTGGAGTTACTGACTGTGTGTGTGTGTGTTAGTAAATAACCACGTTGGAGTTACTGACTGTGTGTGTGTGTGTTAGTAAATAACCGCGTTGGAGTTACTGACAATGTGTGTGTGTTAGTAAGTAACCGCGTTGGAGTTACTGACAATGTGTGTGTTAGTAAATAACCGCGTTGGAGTTACTGACAATGTGTGTGTGTGTGTTAGTAAATAGCCGTGTTGGAGTTACTGACTGTGTGTGTGTGTTAGTAAATAACCATGTTGGAGTTACTGACAATGTGTGTGTTAGTAAATAACCGTGTTGGAGTTACTGACAATGTGTGTGTTAGTAAATAACCGCGTTGGAGTTACTGACAATGTGTGTGTGTTAGTAAATAACCACGTTGGAGTTACTGACAATGTGTGTGTGTTAGTAAATATCCGCATTGGAGTTACTGACAATGTGTGTGTTAGTAAATAACCGCGTTGGAGTTACTGACAATGTGTGTGTGTGTTAGTAAATAACCGCGTTGGAGTTACTGACAATGTGTGTGTGTTAGTAAATATCCGCATTGGAGTTACTGACAATGTGTGTGTGTTAGTATATATCCGCATTGGAGTTACTGACTGTGTGTGTGTGTGTGTTAGTAAATATCCGCATTGGAGTTACTGACTGTGTGTGTGTTAGTAAATAACCGCATTGGAGTTACTGACAATGTGTGTGTGTTAGTAAATATCCGCATTGGAGTTACTGACTGTGTGTGTGTGTGTGTTAGTAAATATCCGCATTGGAGTTACTGACTGTGTGTGTGTTAGTAAATAACCGCGTTGGAGTTACTGACAATGTGTGTGTTAGTAAATAGCCGTGTTGGAGTTACTGACAATGTGTGTGTTAGTAAATAGCCGTGTTGGAGTTACTGACAATGTGTGTGTTAGTAAATAACCGTGTTGGAGTTACTGACAATGTGTGTGTGTGTGTTGGTAAATAACCGCGTTGGAGTTACTGGCTGTGTGTGTGTGTTACTGACAATGTGTGTGTGTTAGTAAATAACCCATTGGAGTTAGTGACAATGTGTGTGTGTGTGTTAGTAAATAACCGCGTTGGAGTTACTGACTGTGTGTGTGTGTGTTAGTAAATAACCGAGTTGGATTTACTGACTGAGTGTGTGTGTGTGTTAGTAAATAACCGCGTTGGAGTTACTGACAGTGTGTGTGTGTGTGTTAGTAAATAACCGCGTTGGAGTTACTGACTGTGTGTGTTAGTAAATAACCGCGTTGGAGTTACTGACTGTGTGTGTGTGTGTTAGTAAATAACCGAGTTGGATTTACTGACTGAGTGTGTGTGTGTTAGTAAATAACCGCGTTGGAGTTACTGACAATGTGTGTGTGTTAGTAAGTAACTGCGTTGGAGTTACTGATAATGTGTGTGTGTGTGTTAGTAAATAACAGCGTTGGAGTTACTGACAATGTGTGTGTGTGTGTGTTAGTAAGTAACTGCGTTGGAGTTACTGATAATGTGTGTGTGTGTGTTAGTAAATAACCGCGTTGGAGTTACTGACAATGTGTGTGTGTTAGTAAGTAACTGCGTTGGAGTTACTGACAATTTGTGTGTGTTAGTAAATAACCGCGTTGGAGTTACTGACTGTGTGTGTGTTAGTAAATATCCGCATTGGAGTTACTGACTGTGTGTGTGTGTGTGTTAGTAAATAATCCATTGGAGTTAGTGACAATGTGTGTGTGTGTGTGTTAGTAAATAACCGCGTTAGAGTTACTGACAATGTGTGTGTTAGTAAATAACCATGTTGGAGTTACTGACAATGTGTGTGTTAGTAAATAACCACGTTGGAGTTACTGACAATGTGTGTGTGTGCTAGTAAATAACCCATTGGAGTTACTGACAATGTGTGTGTTAGTAAGTAATCGCGTTGGAGTTACTGACTGTGTGTGTGTGTGTGTTAGTAAATAACCGCGTTGGAGTTACTGACTGTGTGTGTGTGTGTTAGTAAATAACCACGTTGGAGTTACTGACTGTGTGTGTGTGTGTTAGTAAATAACCGCGTTGGAGTTACTGACAATGTGTGTGTGTTAGTAAGTAACCGCGTTGGAGTTACTGACAATGTGTGTGTTAGTAAATAACCGCGTTGGAGTTACTGACAATGTGTGTGTGTGTGTTAGTAAATAGCCGTGTTGGAGTTACTGACTGTGTGTGTGTGTTAGTAAATAACCATGTTGGAGTTACTGACTGTGTGTGTGTGTGTGTGTGTGTGTGTTAGTAAATAACCATGTTGGAGTTACTGACAATGTGTATGTGTGTTAGTAAATAGCCGTGTTGGAGTTACTGACTGTGTGTGTGTTAGTAAATAACCATGTTGGAGTTACTGACTATGTGTGTGTGTGTGTGTTAGTAAATAACCATGTTGGAGTTACTGACTGTGTGTGTGTGTGTTAGTAAATAACCATGTTGGAGTTACTGACTGTGTGTGTGTTTGTAAATAACCGTGTTGGAGTTACTGACTGTGTGTGTGTGTGTGTTGGTAAATAACTTGTTGGATTTTGTGCCTTTTTTGCTCAATCGCCTGATGAAACACTGGACTGCAAAATATGTAGTAAAAGTGAGTTAAAAACACCCCCCAACCCAAAACCAAACACTCTAGTCTCCATTATACTGAGTATTGGGTGTCGCCATCTTGTAATCCTGTTCCCATGATTCCTTGCATAGCACCCCATGTTGCCCTGAGATGCAATCACAAGTCAATGTGAACCCAACTTGTGAGAACAAATTAAAGAATCCAGGGAAACATAATAAACCTCGTTTTAGGTTAAATCAAACGACATTACGTTCTTTTGCAGAATATATTTGGGTAGCTTGAAAATAAACATATGGATTAGTGCTAAATTGTTAAAATTGATAATCACAGATTGTGACTGTTTTTTGAAGGAGTAAGTAGCAAAATCCATCTGAAAACCTCAATACAATATGGAGGATATCTCTGCATAAGTTACAAAGTAACATTCCTTGGAAGAATGAAGTGAATGTGTATTGAGCAGTTAGATTACAATGGCCAGGAAATGTATTCAACCTGGACTCCTGTTTCTGATCTCTCAGGTTTAGGATAACAATGGAATTCTCTTCACCTCCTCCACTTCCACCATCATTCACACCTTCACCTTGCTTCTATTAGGAGCAAATCAGAGCTGCTATAAATGATACATCATGCTCCATTCCCCAGTTGGACACATGTAGAGACCACAACCATCAGGTCAGGTTATAACCTTGGGATCACATTGCCTCAGACAGAGCTGGAAGATGCCTGGATTCAAGCAGGAATCAGTGGATATATTCCCAGCCTACATCCTAGAACAAGTGGAATATGAGGGCCCAGGACCACATTATCTATCTGCACAAGGTAATAAACTCACCAAGAATCCTGTAGGAATGAGAGTGAAATTGTGACATAGATTCTTGATATCAGGCCTGAATGAAGCACTGGTTTATAATCTTTTTTTTTTTTATATCTATTTGAAGGACACATTCCTAATATGGCCATCAATGATCATAGAGGGGGTCAGATTTGCCAGTCTCCAAACCTACCCAACCAACAGCAAGTTACAGAAAATGCTGAGGTACCCCATCGCAGAAGGCGGACAACCTTTAACCCACACGATTTGTTCGTAATGGAGAGTTTCTTTCAAATAAACAAATATCCAGATATATATGAACGGGAGAAACTGGCCAACCAAATCAACCTGCCAGAGGCACGAGTTCAGGTAAGCGCTTATGTTCAACTATCCACAGTCCCTAATGTTACTCACACAACCATCAATCTTTATTAGTAAACTTATTGCTGTGTATTTTTTAAGCAGTTGATTAAAAAGACAATTTTCTATGTACATATCAAATGTTGAATATATGATACTTTTTTGAACTTCGCTTATTGTAAATTTCAGTTCCAAAGTTAAAATATTGCATGTAGAACTTATTAAATGACTCCGAGATGAGCTCAGTATTAAGGATAGTTTTAAGGGTTTATTATTACACACACCTGCATTCTCAGTGGAGATATCAGTCTTTGGGTAAGAACATCATATTGATCATATTATTGGAAATATTTCTGTTATGTTTATCACATGGATAATTTATTATATCTGTATGTATCTCATTGAAACATTTGTGTATATCTTATATACTTGGTAAATGTATTGCATGTCTCTGTTTCAGGTCTGGTTCCAAAACCGGAGGGCAAAAGCCAAACGAGTGAAGGCTAAGGCGGCCAGTAGAGATGCAGTGTCACAGCTTTGTCTCAGTGGCCATGGACCCAGGGCCCATCCTTATCCACAAGTACTGTATTCATCAATGCCAGGAAATTACAAAGTGCTTGCCAAACAACACATGGAACAGGTGGCACATGTCCAGGGCCCTGCACCCCTTCTTTATAGCCAGAAGCCACTCTTCAACCAGGCACCAAGTCCTGTAAATGGAGATAATTTTACCGAACCGGGGATGTTGGTCCAACAGATGCAGGCTCCTTCAGCATCATTCCACCATTATGGAATGGATCCTTATGGCTACTATGACCAACTTTCTGTAGCCGATGTTGGCATAATTGATGGACATAAAACCTGCTGATTCACCCCAGGAGTCTGGTTGACTCGGAAAACACTTTTACATCTTTGATGTCAATTCATGAAGAGAAACTTAAGGTCAAACTTTTGAATAGATTGTTCTGAGCCATTACTGATGGCAAAAGCCCTAATATATTGATGGAGATGATGCACGATATAATCAATATATTACATTAATATATTGATATAATTAAATTATTCTGGGAAAATTAAAGTCTCACATGATTCAATTGTCAATTTTATCAAAGACACAAAAAATATGTCGCAATGGGAGTTCCTGATATTAAAGCATACTATCAGGATACAAATGCCGCAGGTATGGTAAAGTTCAACCTACGACAGGATGAACCTCAATGGTTATTAGTAGAGATGTCGCGAACCGTCCGCGAATTTCTCGCGAACGGTTCGCCGCGGTTCATGGATGCTGTCCAGGAAGTAGGAGGGTCTGGGAGGGAGGGTCTGCTGGAGATTGGCCGGGATGTGTCAGCTGACCGGATTTCGCCGAACCGCGGCGAACCGTTCGCGAGAAGTTTGTGGACGGTTTGCGACATCTCTAGTTATTAGTTGAAAAAGAAATAGATTTACCCCATTTGTTATCTGAAATTGTTTGGTTACCCAGAATGGTTACCAACAGATATAATTATCTCTAATTCCAACAACTAGAATAACTATATGTTCTGGGCATAATGTGATATAATTTATCCAAATAGAACATACATTAGAGCTACAACAATAAATGTTTAAGAAACTGACATCTGATATAGATATAGTTCATTCTTGGTATTTACATAGTATAAAAATGTAAATGATTTTTTTTTTTTTTTAATAACTCCTTGATGGCCTTTTGATACATTTAAAGTCTAAATTTAATTTGGATTAAAACTTGTCAAAATATATGTTCATCTTAAATTGAAATCTAACTTTAATATTAAACAAGTCCTGCGCTCAAACTCCCACTACTCTTGGGTGGCAGCAATGACCACAGTACACATCAGCCCCAATACATACAGTACATTTATGTATGTATTGGGGCTGATGTGTACTGTGGTTGTTGCTGCCGCCCAAGAGAATTTGTATTTGGTTTCACTTTTGTATCACACCGCTATGTTACAATGCTGCCGCTCATCCAATGTTCTCCTTATTAGGGGTTGATAAGCATGTTGGTGTGTATATATTATCTCAGAGATATCTTTGCCAGAAGCTCAAGGAAGCAAGGTGAAAGGTCAGTGTAGGACCCCAAGGAGAGTTTTGTCTTGACGTGGCAGGTGGGCTAAAGTCTCTCATGACCATTGGAGAAAACTAACCTCCATTCGTTTAAATATACATAGGGATTTGGGAAAGAGCGAAGGTACCTTAAACAGTTAAACAAACTACATCTGTAGAAATATCAGGGATAGAAAATATTGATATAATTCTTTCTAGAAACATACAATTTCTCATTTTCTTTCTTTATCTGTACCAAATCATAAATTGGAATATATGTTGAAGTGGGGAGAGGAATGACAGGTTTCAATGGATTTATCTGATTGATATGAATATATAAAAGGGATGATGATCTGCACATGACATTTTGAAAATCCTGATAAAATTCTATATCAGTGGTATTTAGTTCCAACACGCTTGAAGATGTTTGCTGAAACATTATATTTATGTTGGAGAGACTGTGGGCCATATCTGGTGGGACTGCCCCAATTGAAGACATTTGGGAATAATGTTTAATAATTGTAGGTAAAGGGTTATCTAAACCTGTACAAATGGTAAGAATACATATACTGCCACTTCAATATTACCAAACTATTGGAAATCTCAGAAACAGACCATTCCCATGGTATTAGAGAATAGGAGTTCTGAATGAACGCTGAGACAATGTTCTAGACATGCTCCCTTAGGTCAAGTATGGGGCAACTAAATCCAAAAATTAAAAAGAAAAAACAGGTCATTTATTCGGGAAATACAAGTTTTGCTGAATACTAATACATGAGTCATTATAAATAATTATACTCACTCCTGTAAATATTTGATTGTGTTTCAAAATAGACAGAAAAATGTGCACATTCTGAATACTGTTACTGCTTTTTTTCTTTCCTTCCCCCTTTTCCCTTTTTATTTTTTTTGTCTTTCTTTAATTTGATTTCCTTGTATATTATACAATTTTATTTATATATATATTTAAAATTAAAACTTATAATAAAAGTATTTGAAAAAGATATGGTGCACAATGGGAAACATTCAAACAATTAGTCACTAAACAGATAATTGTTGGGAACTGATCAGAAGTTTTTAGATTTGAGGTCCATATGCTCGAGTCAAGCTGAAACAATTCACCAAATCAGCAATTATGGTTTCAAATCTGGCAATTCCTGACAGTTCTTACACAAGGTTATTCCGTGAAATAAGAATTTGAAGGGACACCATAGTCACCAGAACTATTACAGCTTATAACCATGGCTTTTTGCAGTAAACACTGGGGTTTTTTTTTCTCTCAAAGAAAATGCAGTGTTTACATTACATTACAGCCCAGGGATACCTCCACTGACCACTCCTAATATGGTTACTTGAGTTGCTTCTTGGGGTAGTGCTGCAAAACATGTAGCACTGATGTTCAGTGTCTCCATGGTCCCGCCTTCATGGCTGTGATCAGCCGCCAATCCAATACATTTTAAAAGGCACATGGTGGTGGCTAGAGGCCAGGACCTCTCAGACTTATTGTTGAAAAAATGCCCCAAAGTTGTAACTCAATAATGCATCTATGAATGCGCAATATATATTCAGATTTGATGTAAACTAATATGAAGGTTGTGAAACTTTACAATACCCTGCACCCGACTCTGTGAGTAGCTTAGCAGCAGAGTAAATATAGAATGAAAAAATGACTGCAGCCCTTCGTGAGTAATAAGACAGACTAAAAAACTGCAAATAACCTAAAATTTCTCTTCCTGGGCAAAGAGAGACTGCATTATGAGTGTGTGAATACTTTCTCATATCGGTTTATTATTTTATTGCTTTCTCTAGGTCTCTATCATGATGGTGTATACTGATGCCCACACGGCCAAATATAGGTGCTAAAAGAAGAGAAATCTGTCTTACTATAATAACTGATCTCTAGCAATTTGTCAACAGATTTTAGGTATAGTGGGCCCAAACCATAGGAAAATAGGAGGGCCTCTTGAATGTGTGTGCGCCCCTTGTATTTGAGACACCTGAGAGAATTGTAGTTACTACTATTTTCACAATGTATATAGATATTATTCCAGAGTAATCAACTGAAAACAAACTATTAAAGGCAAAGGGTCGCTTATTAAAAGCCAACATGAATCAAAGGATACCAAGAATAGGGACAGTGATTGAGTCATCACACATCCTGTGCACAGAGCAACAAATTATGCAAATATGTCCCTGTCTGTGTTAAAAAAAAAAGAGTTTAATTGTTCTGTAAATGGCAGCAAAGATCTGTATATGGATATTTAATTGTCTTACTCATTTTGGAATTCTTTTGACCTCAGGGCCCTTCAAGGTCAGGATCAATAGGAACTAATTGCTGATAATACCCTAATCTGCATGAGTTCTTATTTAAATGTTGTGTTTCCTGGCCCTGTCCACAGAGTGACTCAGAGGATAGTATTTGGTCAACACAGTGTTTATTCCAAGCAGACAGTTTGTATACAGGCCGGCAGGGGGTGGAAATGTCTCAATAGGCATCCCTTCCCTTAGACCCACACTTCATGCTAATCGAGATCCCCCTGCCTCCAATTTTAGGTGTGATACAATGGAATGTGCAGGACACATCTTTTATTTGATCTGATGGAGATGTGTTAGCCAACTCAATAGCCAATATACATTTCTAAAGAGAATACTGTAGCACAAATTGCAAAAACACCACCCTTCCAAAGGAAAAAAATATAGAAGTATAAAGTTTAAACTGAGGAATTAAACTTGATAGAAAACAATCATCCCTTCCCCCCTTATATTACAACTTAAGTAGATTAGACATGTCCCATAAATTCCTCCTATATATGATAAATCTGACAGACATTTAACAGTGGCACTCCCTGATGGGTAAGGGTACAAACAGAAATGTCTTGCGTCTGATGCCCAGAGTATCTCAAATTATGGAAAGTGTCTACAATAGACATAACAGACATAGCTGTTGTATCTTTCCCATAGAGAGGGTTTCTGTCTTGCATTGAAGTGGTTATTGTGCCTGGAGGTCACTTTAAGGGGTTAAACCATTTACAAACTGTTTAACCTCAAAGTTGTTAAGATGGCATCTGTCAGCGCAGCAACCCAGGTTTTCCAGGTGACCGTATTATCTGGCGCTCTCGGTGTCTATCCATTGAGTTAGTTGATGCTTTCGGCCTATCGACAGTGCCAAGTTTGAGGCTTCCTCATTGATGCCTCAGACATTGCTGGAAGACTGGACACAGTTTTGAGGTTGAACCAGTCGTAAAGCCCATTAAAAACCTCACACCCAGGACCTCCAAGCACCATAACTTAATTGAGATTAAATTGTTATGGCGCTCAGAGTGTTCTTTTAAAAAGTAGTTTAACTATGTCATCTTTGATGAATAGAAAAGACACTTGATGGTTGACTTTTCAATAAATATTAATTTGATCAAATAAAAGAATATCCAAAATAATTGCACACCCTATGGTCTGAATAAAGCAATCTAACCTGGAATTGGAAATGGAGAATATGACGGAGGGGATTTTTCTGGGCAGCACAGAAAGATCTATTATGCTATATTATCCAGAAATTAATTTTAAATAGGCACTGTTCTAACGAAATACTAATAAGAAATTAGCAACATTTGGATACATCTGATGTGTTGCTTTCCTTTTACAAGCCTCATTCACAAAACTGAAGACATTGTTGAAACATTCCCCTAACTATAATGAAAGTGTAAAACATAGTCCCCTCTAGTGGCCAGAGACCAAATCCACATCTAGGAGGGGAAATGGCTCCATCTAGTGCTTTAAGTCAGAACAACATACATGAACATGTTGACATGGAGATTTTACTTTTAAATGAACTGTATAAACCCCATTAGTTTCCTACATAACCTCCTATGTAAGCCATTTTCTGTATTTCTGACCATATTGGCTTTAGCTGTAGTATTTCCTATGTAAAATAAAGTCGGGTCTCTGATAGTTTAGTAATGCACTCCTTAAGAAGAAGCAAAGGTTTAAGATGCAATTAATCAGGTCTGAAGAGAAAATGATTGTGTTTTGTACTTTTTTACTGAACAGGAAACCTTCATGTTTTTCATGTTTCAGTGTGACACATGTATACTGCCATTAGTCACTCACTGAACATCTCGGATCACAATACACTACAGGGATGGATTGTAAAAATAGCTGCAAAGGGCAAAAGCAGTAAGAATAAGATTTGGTTTTCTGGGGGTCTATATAAGGGGTCTAAATAAGAAAACTTAACTAGGTATCCTGCACCAATTTTATATAAAATTAGATTTTTAAAGGAGGAAGAAAGTAGTAGTAGTAACATTTGAATAACTAAATAATACTAATAACAACTCAGATGCAGGACTTGATAGTCACCAGAATTATGCTATAAGAACACGAAGTACTAAAAGTCACTTTACTTCTAGTAAAAATGGCAAACAGTTTATTATAATTAAGCAGTTTACCATCTATATTAAACAACCCAATACACAATTTGTACAAGATCAACATCTAAGAATACACTCCAGGGATGGTTTGTGCGATTAGCTGTGGTGGGCTAAATGCCTGGTTGGCTAACATACATGGATCTTTGACAATCAAACAGAACGCACCATGTGTGGCAACAGACTGGTGGAGAATTCCTTTTTTTTCAGGTTTGATCTCGGCAGGGAAATCCATAATATAGCTTAAAGAAAAAAAAAACTAAACTGAAAACAATCTAACGCTTGGCTTGTCCAGTCTTCAGGCCAGTTATATATCAAATTCCTTCGCAGAACTCCAATGCATTTACACAAGAGAAGTACCATGTTTTGAGAGCCAAGTTCGATGTTACAGTTTGCAGAACACAAAGCAGCCAAAATCCACAGAGCATTTATAGATACATAGTTTGCAAATTCATCATTCATTTTGCGGATTTGATCGTTCCATATCATACCATTCCAAGCAAAGAAGAACTCTGATACTGCCGATAGAAGATGTTAGATGAACTTATTTGGCAAGTTACGGAAGAGATCTGTAGTGGTCTATTTTTGTCCCCTGTTGCTGGAGAAACCAATGTGGTATTCATGGCTGCAAGTTTATTAATCAGCCCTTTTCGTGGCTGCAGTTCTCGGTTTAGGCCCAATTTTTGGCTGGAGTTTATTAATTGGCGCCATTTGTGGCTGCAGTTCTGTGGGTTTCAGGAAATGTAAAACAAAATAAATTGCTTTTAATTCATACAAATTAAATTAAACAGTTTGTGGTTTTAATGCTGCTTCATAAGCATAAAAAGTGAGTTAACTTTTCTTTGTTCTCTCCAAATGGATATTGTTGCTATAAAAGTTTGCTTCATGGAAACAGAGCTGTACAACATCCTCTCACATTTCAGTCTCTATTTGTGTTATTGGCAGCAAACGCGTGGAGGTTTCCCATCTGACTCAGTCCACTCTGAATGTGCGCTACGTGGATCTCAACGTTATTTTGAAAGCAGCTAAATGGGAGGAAAAAAAAACCAAAGCAAATATTAAATATTAATAAAAACAAATTAATAAAATAGACACCAGGAAGAGCCAAACTACAGGGTTCTCAATAGACTGAATATATTCATAATATTTGTTTGAGACTAACCCAAACCCGAAGTCTAATAGAAACTTTTATTTGAAATAAAAACCTGTACTAATTACTAATGAATACCTTTTTTTAGGGATAAACATATTGCCCTGTAAGTAGAGAAGTCAGTCTTGGTATTTTCCTTTGTTGTTGGATAGACTTTACTTAAAAGGAACACTCCAGGGAGAATTTTCCAACATTTCATATATAAATTACGGAGATAATGGCCAAAAATACATAAAATAGATAAAAATAAAAAACAACCAACCATCTATTTATGTGGCTGTCTGGAAGACAAGTAGAGGTGTTTTTCACCCTGTAATGTAAACACTGCTGCTTCTACAATACTGGGTTAAAATGAGAGGTCCACAAAATACACATCCAAACCTTTTTAGACAAATTCAGTAAGGGAGGTCAGTAAGCTGCAACATTTTACCTATGTTTTCCTGCACATATTAGAATATAAAACGCTCACCTGATATTAGAAGGACTTATTGAACTCTTGATGTCATTTAAAGAGTCTGTTAAAGATTTGAACTCAAATGAATTGAGGTCCCCTCCTTCGGCCAGACACTAAGAAATAGATGAGAAGATCATTGATTAAATAAAATACCTTTTTTATTTTTTATTTAAATAAGGCAATATAAGAAGTTTGAAAGGCCTAAGATTTCACTAGGAAAACATGAAAATAATTTTAAAAAGCTTGTTAGTTATATTTCTTTTATTATTAGTCACCAACCTATTAAATGTAAATGAATTGTTGGAAACATGTAAATTACCTTTAAAATGTATTTAAATTCCTTGAGTTTTAGAAATATTGTTAAATAGTATGATAGGATTACCTTGGGGCAGGTATAGATTAAATGAACACTCCAAGCCACTATGGTGCCAGGAGTGCTTTGACTCTCACAGTCAGTCAGCTGGCACTGCACGGCAGGGCTTTTAAATAAGTAGAGCTAACGGAATCTCCTTACAGAAGAAATGGTTTGACTTACTTTGGGAGGGCGTGCAGGGCACTTCTTGCACCATAAGCACTACAACTGCCTGCAGTTTTTTTTATGTGAATATTCCTGTGGTCTCATGACTTCTATTAGCTTTTGAAATCGCTTATTTCCTATGTTTCCATGAATTATGTTACTTGTGTGCACAGATATCGTACAGAGTCACAAAAAAATAATAAAAATTTTCTATGAGAGAACCTCTACAAGTTAATTTGGATTGTCCATTTAAGTGAGGCTTAAAAATGAAACCTGTTTCAGAGAGTGTTAGGGAGGCTGTGTGAGTGTCATCAAGAGAAGGTGTAACTAAGGCTGCTTAAACAAAATGATTTAACTTCTAAATAGCAGAGAAGTGAGCAGTGAAACCACTATAGTAAGCTGAAGGGTTTTTTGGTGCTTGAGTGTCCCTTCAAACAGATAAAGCCAGGTCTACCTTTTGTACACCACTGGCTAGGATTATTTACACCGGATAAAAATGTCCCTGCCACATAAAGGTGGATTCTATGCCAAAACTGCAACATGTTCGTCATTTAAGAAAATAAATACAATGGCCGGTTTCAGCATTAGAATAGCTCCCATGCCCTCTTACTTTGATCTGTAAAAGGATGGCAGTAAGCCGAGAAATTAAATCGGTCAGGCCCTCATTCTGCACGCATGGCTGTCCGGTGGATGGGGTATTAGCTTGACGGACCATCTCCTGAGCCTGATCTTCACACCGCTGCCTCATACTTGTAGGCTTGTTGGCTGGTTGCAGTCCCTGATCTGGGGCGAGCTAGAGAAACAATCAAGACCACCATTAACAGAATTAGATAAAAGTGGCAAATATTTAGAAACTTTATCTTTTCTCTCCATACTTTTTGTCTTAGCTAATGACTGTCATATTTAACAAATATTCAGCAGATTCATACATATTGAGATTATTCAACTCAAAGTCAGTTTGTCAAACTGAAAAGGATGAAAAGTTGAATTGACTTATTGGTAGCATTAAGGTATAACAGGGTCTACACAGCTGATACATGAGCTATCTTACCTGCTTGTGTAGTAGAATGTGAAGTGAAAGGAAAGCCACCTCCACAGTGTTTAACTATTGTAATTCTAATATAATAGCATAGTTAAATAGTTACATAGCTGAAAAGAGACTTGCGTCCATCAAGTTCAGCCTTCCTCACATTTGTTTTTTGCTGTTGATCCAAAAGAAGGCAAAAAAAAACAGTTTGAAGCACAATTTTGGCCCCGAATATATTTGTATAATGTTATCATATCCCCTCTCAGGCGACGTTTTTCTAAACTAAATAGGTTTAAATTTGTTAGCCTTCCTTCTTAGCTGATATGTTCCATTCCTTGTAGCCCGCCTCTGCACTTTTCCTAGTGCCATGATATCCTTCTTTAGAACAGGTGCCCAAAATTGCACACCATATTCAATATGGGGTCTTACCAGTGATTTATAAAGAGGCAAAATGATATTATCGTCCCGAGAATGAATGCCCTTTTTCATGCATGACAATACCTTACTGGCCTTGGCCACTGCTGACTGACATTGCACATTGTTGCATAGTTTGTTGTCTATAACAATTCCCAAGTGCTTTTCGTGTTTTGTTGTCCCTAATTCGTTTCCATTAAGGGTATACGATGCTTGTGTATTCTTTACGCCGAAGTGCATAACTTTTGTTTTTCAACATTAAATTTAATCTGCCATTTGAGTGCCCAGTCCCCCAGTCTATCTAAATCCATCTGCAGCAAAGTAATATCTTGCTCACATTGTATTATTTTACAAAGTTTTGTGTCATCTGCAAACACTGAAACATGACTTTCAATGCTGTCTTCAAGATCATTTATAAACATGTTAAATAGAAGGGGTCCCAGAACAGACCCCTTAGGGACACCACTTGCCACCTCTGTCCAGCTTGAAAATTTACCATTAACGACAACTCTTTGTACTCTGTTTTTAAGCCAATGTTCTACCCAAGAACAAGCATTTTCATCTAGACCGATTTCCTTGAGTTTGAACACGAATCTATTGTGTGGAACTGTATCAAATGCCTTGACAAAATCCAAATAGATCAGTTGATCTAGAATTAATTGCATATTGATCTTGCAACAAAAGCATTTTAATAAATTGAATACACAATAAAACAGAAGACAAATGCATGTGTACTATTCTTTTAGTATTAACATATTTGAACATTGCCACACAGTCCCAATCCCTCCAATATGTAAAGCTATGTCAATGTCATTCTATTTACCTCATAACAGTACTGCTGGACCTTATGTAGAACTTTATTCAGATCCTTGTTCAGCTGTTCTAGGTCAAGAACAACGGTTGCGTATCTTCGCTGAAACTCAATACCAATAGGTGCAGAGTAAGATTTCTAGGGAAAGGACAATAAAAGCGATATTTATCATAATGCTGATAATTTTCACGGTTGTGTTTAAAATGCAAAATTGAAATACCACTATGGAGATTTGTCTTTGTGAAGATCAGCCTTTTGTTTTTAAAATAACTACTGCCTGAAACCAACCCTCCGCAATAAATCATGCATAAATAGTGCAAAACACTTTAAATTTTACCATTTTCTTTCATCAATCCAGCAACCACACAGATCTTTTCTGCATATATTGTGGCGTTCATATCTAGGCTGGATGATAATTTAGTCTGAGTAATTTTTTCAACTTTATTTTTAGGGGTACTTGCCCAGCATAGATAAGAACACCCCAGAAATACTGCCACTATACTGTACTAAAGAAACAAAACAAAAAATGATGTCACGAAAATATATATATATTTTCCTACATACTGTGAATATCACATTATGAACATTTAGTGAGACACACCACGTTCACCAGTTACAGAGCACATTGGTTCAGGATGACTGAAGGCCAACCTTGGCAACGCAAAACCATTTCCCATAATTTACCGCCACTTTGTAAATATTGCCAATGTTCGCAATCACTGTTTTAATGTGAAATATATAGAAAATAGCAGTGCAAGTATTACTACAAATATCTACAATCATTGGACTGTTTGTTAATGCTCAATATGCATATAGTAGATTATACTCCTTTTAATAGTCACTTCTGGCTATAAAGGCATAATGTTTGTGTCTTCAGAAATTATAAGCTGTACCCAGACATTAAATTGCCCTAATAAGTACAGCTGTAAATCTAGATAAAAGGATTTAGGACGGGCAAGAAAGACTAAGGTTTACCAGTTTCTCTGCTTCTGTATTCATGTCTCTTAATTGCTTGATGTGTTCTTTCTTTATCATAAGGATCTTTGATAATCTGGTCTATAACACACAGAAAGAAACCACAGTAAGTGAATCTAAGAACTGGATAACACAATTTAATGAGTTGCTGAACGTCACTGGAAATCACCTGTTCTCAGTTCACTTTAATGTATAACAACTCATAAGGCTGTAAATATATCACTTATCATAGTTGGGAAATTGTATATGGAGTTAATTTAGGAGCTGTTAAACTAGTACTTACCTTCAACCCAAACCCATTCTCAGTGACAAATATCTTTAATGCTATTTTAACAACCATCTTCAGGGCCTGCCTTCCATCCACCCACCTCAGACACAGAAGGCTCTGCTTGGGGATATTTCCATAAACAGGGCAACCTCCTCATTGATGTCAGCATGGGGCTTGACTGTCAATGCATTAGCATCAAACTGTCCAATACCACCTGTAGGTTTGAGATACACTTGCTGGGGAGAATAACAATGCTGCGGTTATAGAGATATTTGTCAACATCTGATTGACAAGTGGAGGATAAGGAGCAAATGTTTCAACATATTTTTATGAGAAGCAGCACATTTGGTGGCAATTCTTCGAGAACACTGTACGGATTAATTTATTTGGTTGTGTGTACTATGATAGGTACACTTTAAATCAAAGGTTTTTAACCATGGGAGTGGAAAGACTTAGGACTTTCTTCTTCCTTGTCAACGAACAAACTGTACTACACAAAATTTACAACAATTAAACTTGCAGAAAGGTCATTTGATCCCAATGCCAATGTCTAATGGGCGAGTAACGAGAAACCCTATTTTGTATCCGTTTGTGACACAACAGAGGCCTTCATAAGACTTTATCTTCTCCCAACTTATCAAATTCTCAGTTGTGGAGAGGGATGGGCCAGGTCTCAGGTACACAGTGTAAGCTCACTCACCACAGCCATTTAGAAAAGTAAAGGGGAATTGTAAGCCCAACACAAGTAATTGCATTTTCGGATTCTTACTCGCCTCGTTGAAAGTGAGAGAACAGGGGGCACAGCAGAAGAGTATGGAGGCTCAGAACAGGCATGTTAACCTCACACGAGCTACAGAAGGCACATTAGGCTACACTGTGTGCCTTCATACTAGCTTACATAGATTCTGAATAAAGCTCACCAATGTAGGCCAGTGATGTCTTACCTACAGTATCCCAAAGGATGCTCATGATTCTTAACCAAACCATATTTATCATAGCGCAGATGTTATACCAATTGTATTTTGTCATGCTTGTCTGATTCACAAAAAAGCTGTGCATTCTCAGGTTATTACTAGTTTTAACAGACTATAATAAGATGAATAAACAATGAACGCAGTGGTCTACGGTATTTGATTTTAACATAGAACTTTTTTTTAGCTGACACAAAGTAACACGATTCCTACCCCTCCTAACTGCATTCATTTAATGGAAAATGTCTAAATATCCAGCTGAGATTAAGGACTCACAAGGAGGAAGATCTAATGGAATTGCCATACTTACCACCTGGACAAGAAACTCAACAGGAAATCCACCTATGGTCTCATTGTCTTCTTTGGACATTTTATTTTTCCATGGTGACTGTCCCAACATGGGATCGGTTTCCTGTATGAAAAGAAATCAGAAATGGAATATTAGATTGCCAGGGACTACATTAGTAGGTTACAGCCAAATATAAGGAATACATTTACTGTTCTGTGATAATTCTTTAGGAACAGGAGGGTAAAGTTTTGCAAAGTGAGGTCCCCTTACCATTATCGGTGACTGGACGGTAGGAGAGTAATGTAACCGGGGAGGAGTCATGAACATCCTGGATGGCCGCTGTTTCTGTCCAAAGGCCGCTATCGGCATAGTCTCATGAGGCTCATAACTCTGGGATTAACATGTTGGATACAAAAGAAGATAGGAGAAAATCTGTAAATAAGATAACTGTGAAACCCAAGATGCAGAATGGTTGCCAGCTAGCCAGCATGTCTACCTCTAGGTGTAGCCACTGGCTTTGAAAGATTACAAGGCACCCAGAACGACAGTTGCAGGGACTTTAAATACATTCCACTCCAAGCTAGAAAGTAACTAAATGACAAGGGATTAATGAGGAACAACCAAGAATGTTGAAGTGGAAATTAAAGGAACATTGGGGTTATACACTGTATAAAGCAGTATTAAGACTGGAGCACTTACAAGAACTTCATAGTCAGGGATGGTGTGAGTGCCCAGGCCATTTCTATCAAAGGTTACTCTGTAGGTTGAGTTCTGTGTATCTACAGCATCTATCTGGCCGGTGAATAAGCCATCATGCTGCCCACGTAAACGAGCTGAAAGAAATGGTTTCATGTCACAAGTGATTTGAAGACGGTGTTAACTAAATGAAAACACCTTTATTGAGGCTATTGGTAAAGAAAGATTTTATTGTCTCAATCAGCATCAACAATTTAAAATGTATTTTCTTTTCTTGATGCAATGGTGTAAAATTTTAGCGCTGTAAGAAAATGTGTTGGCACTGACTTTGACCAAGCTGCAATCATTATGAGATATCAGAATATTTATACCATACAAGGAAAGGATATATGTAGACTGAAATTGCAGAATTAACAGACCGCTATTTCACGTTATATTAAGAGAACACCCAAGCCGCCCCCCCAACCCCCCTAAAAATACCACACCAAAGAATTCCCCCTCGACCCTTTCATTTTCTACTAATCTGAACACATAACATCAGGTATTACACAGGATTATTTTACCCTGTTAGTCGGTTGGTCATTTAACTAAGATTTGAAAAGAATACAGTCAAGTAAAACAATCTGTGTGGTCGATATCAGAATTTAAAACTACTCCACAAGGTTTTCATTTTTTGCAATAATGGTCACCTGTAACCTTTGTTCCTATAACCAGTGACAAGGGGATTTCATCAGGAAGATCCTTGAACTGTGACACGTCTGCTACCTTCCTTTGCTGCAGAAGGCGAATTTTCTGCCGTTTCTGCTCCAGGGCGGCTCTCTCCTCGTCAAAGAATGCGGCAGAACATCTAGAGATGAAAATAGAGGTAGTACTGAATGAACTAAAAAAAACAAAATGCTGGATAGATGCTGTCACACGTGTGGGCTATTTGCCCAGCCAAGACAGTGTGGAATTGAAAGGGTTAACCAGACCCCCTGGTTACCTGTTGCTGGTACCAGCAACCACTAAATTAACCCCTGCAATTCCATATACACAAACGCCCTAGTACACACTTTACTGATGTTACAGGTCTCCAAGTATTTGCTGAAAAAAGAAATCTCTCACTGGATAGTCCAACATCCTCAATATATACACCTTAAAATTGGTTGTTTCTAAGTGGGCAGACCCCTGGGTGGATCAGAGGGTTTGGCCTGGCAGTTTATTGCCCACTCCATATTTTCTCAACTTATGTTGTCCTTTGAAGAATCCAAAGTCAGAGCATATGCACCAACACCTTTCACAATGCCCTATGTCCAGCTCTGGTGATGGTTATCTAGTAGATTTACGGCTTAGGCCTGGTGTTAGATCAAAGCCTACAATAATTATCCCAAAACAACTCATAACATATCAAATGCCAACTCATGCTTGGGCATGACAGATGCCTTCAGTAACACTTAAGTCCCTCAACCACAAAGATTAATAAACTTCATTTCCGTCAACCACGAGTTTCAAGGCAATTAAAAAAGACAAAATATAAAAATATAATTCAGGTTCTCTTATAACATAAAATCTTATGATTTTCAGTGGTTATCATCGGCAATACAAGGGCAATCTGAGCTGCTTAACTAATACTGCTAAAGGCAGAGGTAATGCTGCCCAAGGTCAAAGGGTGCTAGACCTTTTTTTTTTCCCCCATCATGGTAGCTGTATAAAAAAAATAAAAAAATAAAAAAATAAAATCACAAATAAAAAACAAGGATGCTTCAGGGCATCCACAGATCAACCCCTCAGCTGCACTGATAATAGTGAAGTGTAAACACATTATCAGTATTAATTTTCTCCAAACTGGACAGCAGTTCTGGGCTGTCAGCACTGTCTAACTCACCACGGAGCTCTCTCTACATTACATTTAACCAATACTGGAAAACTAAAAGTGCAAATTCTGCATTAAGATGTTGGCATAGACGGGAAGTCTCTGTGCATCATGGTGCCCTGTTTATTAGCAACTTACTCAATGCAAAGGAGATGGAGCACCTATACTCTTGGCAGCATAACTATGGTTCTGAGTAAATATTTTGTTGAGTGAAAGAGGACAGACTTTTGGCAGATTTTCCACAGATGAAACATACAATTTAATTATTAATATAATTATTTTAACTAGTAATCATACCTTCTTGGTTTTCCCATAAGCCGTCTAATTTTTCCCCATTCTACCCTGGTTAGTTTCCTGGTCTTAAGATTTGGGAAGGATTCTTTTAAGCACACACAGAAGTCATTATCACCTTCAAATAAAGGCCTGTGAAAGAAGACAATTAACTTGACTAATGCAATCATACATGAGAACAAAAATAAACCCCACTCTGTATTGTTATAGCAAACAATAAACCACAAGAACAGTGTTGGCTATTCTTGATGCACAGATTCCATATGACAAGGGGTAGAATCGTTATTTTACCTTCAAAAAAAATTTCCACAAGCACAGAAATTACGCTAATACAAAACAAATTCAGTTACAGTACTCACTTATCTATATTTGAATAAAACCACTCGTATATACACCATTTGTGAGCTTTGGGGAGCTTTAATAAATTCCGTAATCGGTAACCAATCTTCTGAGATGATTTCTTCACTGGAGTATTGATAGTAGCAGGAACTTTCTGAAATGACAAAACAGGGCAAGATTACTTAAAAGGAGAGGTCAGGCAGGAATCAACCTGTGCTTTAATGCATCGTATAAATATTTTATTTAAAATAATTTAAAAAACGCTCACAGTTGAACTTTTTGTATTTCAAGCAATTCCCCAAGTTTTGTAGCCAATCAGGCTGTTCCAATGCTGTCCTAGGACATTGCTCAAAGTGATAACTTATTTTCTTCTTTTATTATGAAGTATAAGAGAGACTGATGGTACAGTCCAATGGCAATGATTTGTATCAGAACGCCCCCAGCAACAGCAGAGGACCCAAAAGGAAATATTGTACACACAATCCTACATGGTAAAATATTTAAAAAGGCAAACAATTTGCTACTGGATATTAGGGCAAAAATGCTACCATAAACAATAGATTAAGGAATAATCACAAGTTTCCATTCCAAATAAAGAGGTAACAGACATTCAAAGAAATACGTATTTTTATAAAGTGTAAGCAAGCATGCCTAAATACCCCAATGCGGCAACTGTTATATGGTTGTATTTATAGGCACTGCATTAATCACGGTCACATAATTTGTAATAACCATTATAATATTCTGTACCTGAGGCATTGTGGATGTTTTTTGATTTCTTTTAGGGGATCTGGTATTTAATAGCTTTTCTTCTTCGTCACAGAAAAGACGACTTCGCTTTGAACTCCTGTATGGCTATGAGTAGAAACCAAATTTAAAAAATGAATAAACCAATTGGGGACAGTATGATTGGTGTGAAGAAGAAAAAAAAAAGGATCCGAGAGCCCCCTCCCTCACGACATGTATACTGATCTCTTCCAACACACACACACACACACACACAACACACAAATTCCTTTTCTCCAGGGCTGCATTTTTCACCCCACTCTCACAGGGACCTATTCTATCCCCTTCTGCTTCTGAGATGGACCAAACACTGCAGAAACTTTTTAGTGTAACTGTTCTAATTTCGCAAACATGTCATTGCCCTATAACACCTGAGCATAAAAAGACATTGTAAAGAATAAATGCATAGTGTGATGATATCCAGTGTCAGTTTGGCAACCAAAAGTCACCTAACGGCCCTGAAGTCCCTCTAGTGGCTGTCTAGTAGACAGCCACTGGAGGTGGAGTAAACCCTGAATAGTAATTATCGCAGTTTCTCTGTTAAACTGACAGTGGCACTGCACCCAGACCACTTAAATCCATTTGTTTCGATGTGCATCTTGAAGAGAACCAAATTTCAGAAGCTTGTATCTGTGTCGATAAATGTAGATGGTTGCCAGGGACCAACTGTAGAGGATGCAACTAAAAGCATGCACCTTCAACTAAAAGCATGCACCTTTCTCTTAACTATTGCTAGGTCAGCATTAAACAATTGTTGTATGTTTTGTAGGAGTTCCATTTGTAAAAGGGGCATCTAGGTCCTCTGAAATTAATTGTACATAAATATCACCAGATGTCAGAAACTCGTTGATTGTTTTTGGGAAGCCATCTTCCAATGAGGAATAGCGTGCAACCATCTGCTCTGACATTTGTGGACAAAGTCTATGCAATAAGATCCCTTACATCTCAGGATCCATGGACTCTAGAAGACTTCTGTTTATTCTGTCTGATTTTTGCTATTCTTCCCCACAATGTCTGAAGGGAAAACGGATTAGCCAAAGTCTCGTGCAAAATAATGGCAGAAAAAGCAGGAAGCTGTGAAGCTCAATTAAGGACGCCTTCCTGACAATAGTCTCTAGTATAGATTATATTATAACTGAGCTTACTATACAATATGGGACGGGTTGCTTAGTAATGCCATGTACATAATTTAAGTTGTAAAAAAATACCATTAGCTTACCATATCTGTGGCTGGGTTGATGCCTCCCTTCCAGTTGGGTGTTTTCTGTGGGGAGTTGTATTTTTCATTCCAAGTATTTGATAAGCTCCCCTCTTTAAAAAAAAACAAACAAACAAACAAAAAAAACAAAACAAATAAAAATGACATTTATAAGACTGTTTGTATTTAGTAGAACTTGACATTTCAATTACCAATGAGGATAGGAAACAATTGGCGTTTTGTTTTCACCAAACTGGGAATTGCTGAGAACTCACTAGGAAATTGCAAATTTTAGACCAAAAAAGGTGCTTTTCATGCTCGGCTATACCAGTCATAAAATAATTGTACTTCCCTTGTCAGTTCTTCCAAATTCCCAGCCCAGTGATTAAATCACTTTGTTTTTCCACGATATGACTATACAACTTTCACAATGTACCAGAAACAGTCACTACAATTTCTTAACATCAGATTAGCTTGGGAAAGTGATGAGGGGAATGCTTTAGGTTACTATATGATATTTGACATTTCAAATATTCTAAAAATTGGCATATCCAATGGACCTAGCCATTCAGGAAATAACTAACATCTTACAGGTAAAATGATTTCTGGAGCTCTGTTACTGGTTGGCATTAGGGACAACAACCAATCAAAACATGTATGTGACTCCTGTCATAAAAAAAAAACCAAAAAAAAAACAATCTACTCAATGCCATTTACATGTTGCTCACTCTTCTCACTCCACCCAATCTCGTGTTATCTATTTTGCACCAAAAAATAATGTTGTATAGTGACTATTCTTTTAATCTATTAGTTTTGCATCATCTAGATCATGTGTTAAATAAAAAATAAAACTACAGCAATTAAAAAGTATGGGGTTTATTTATTAAAGTGGGTATTAAAAGAAAAACGGTCACCACAAAAATATATATTTTAATATAATCATTTCGTGGAGTGTTGAAAGGAATTAGATTTTTTACCTTTGGCCGGACAGTGTTTGAAAACTGACAGTCCGGGGTCTTCCCTGTTTCTCTGCAGGGAGTGTAGCAGTGAAGATCATAGAGAAGAAAGTTTTCTAGCAAAACCCCGACCCAAGGTGCATGTATATGTATAAGGGTCTTGTCATGTATTAAAGATAGGGTTTGTCTCATTTTTTATTTTTTTTAAATAAATCAATTTTCATAAAAAAAAAATAATAATAAAAAAAAATAAATTATATATATATATATATATATATATATACACACACATATACATATACAGGGAGTGCAGAATTATTAGGCAAATGAGTATTTTGACCACATCATCCTCTTTATGCATGTTGTCTTACTCCAAGCTGTATAGGCTCGAAAGCCTACTACCAATTAAGCATATTAGGTGATGTGCATCTCTGTAATGAGAAGGGGTGTGGTCTAATGACATCAACACCCTATATCAGGTGTGCATAATTATTAGGCAACTTCCTTTCCTTTGGCAAAATGGGTCAAAAGAAGGACTTGACAGGCTCAGAAAAGTCAAAAATAGTGAGATATCTTGTAGAGGGATGCAGCACTCTTAAAATTGCAAAGCTTCTGAAGCGTGATCATCGAACAATCAAGCGTTTCATTCAAAATAGTCAACAGGGTCGCAAGAAGCGTGTGGAAAAACCAAGGCGCAAAATAACTGCCCATGAACTGAGAAAAGTCAAGCGTGCAGCTGCCACGATGCCACTTGCCACCAGTTTGGCCATATTTCAGAGCTGCAACATCACTGGAGTGCCCAAAAGCACAAGGTGTGCAATACTCAGAGACATGGCCAAGGTAAGAAAGGCTGAAAGACGACCACCACTGAACAAGACACACAAGCTGAAACGTCAAGACTGGGACAAGAAATATCTCAAGACTGATTTTTCTAAGGTTTTATGGGCTGATGAAATGAGAGTGAGTCTTGATGGGCCAGATGGATGGGCCCGTGGCTGGATTGGTAAAGGGCAGAGAGCTCCAGTCCGACTCAGATGCCAGCAAGGTGGAGGTGGAGTACTGGTTTGGGCTGGTATCATCAAAGATGAGCTTGTGGGGCCTTTTCGGGTTGAGGATGGAGTCAAGCTCAACTCCCAGTCCTACTGCCAGTTCCTGGAAGACACCTTCTTCAAGCAGTGGTACAGGAAGAAGTCTGAATCCTTCAAGAAAAACATGATTTTCATGCAGGACAATGCTCCATCACACGCGTCCAAGTACTCCACAGCGTGGCTGGCAAGAAAGGGTATAAAAGAAGAAAATCTAATGACATGGCCTCCTTGTTCACCTGATCTGAACCCCATTGAGAACCTGTGGTCCATCATCAAATGTGAGATTTACAAGGAGGGAAAACAGTACACCTCTGAACAGTGTCTGGGAGGCTGTGGTTGCTGCTGCACGCAATGTTGATGGTGAACAGATCAAAACACTGACAGAATCCATGGATGGCAGGCTTTTGAGTGTCCTTGCAAAGAAAGGTGGCTATATTGGTCACTGATTTGTTTTGTTTTGTTTTTGAATGTCAGAAATGTATATTTGTGAATGTTGAGATGTTATATTGGTTTCACTGGTAATAATAAATAATTGAAATGGGTATATATTTGTTTTTTGTTAAGTTGCCTAATAATTATGCACAGTAATAGTCACCTGCACACACAGATATCCCCCTAACATAGCTATAACTAAAAACAAACTAAAAACTACTTCCAAAAATATTCAGCTTTGATATTAATGAGTTTTTTGGGTTCATTGAGAACATGGTTGTTGTTCAATAATAAAATTAATCCTCAAAAATACAACTTGCCCAATAATTCTGCACTCCCTGTATATATATATATATATATATATAAAAAATAAAGTAGTAGGTAATAGCACTCCAAGGACTTCAAAAAGTATAAGGTGAGAAAACTTAGCTTTTATTCAGCAGCTGCCACACAGAATCAGCGTTTCAGTTCTAATACAGAACTTTCATCAGGATAAAAGAGAGTGGGGGTGTAAAAAGAGAGTGGGGGGGGAGAAAAGGAGGGAGGGAGTAAGAAGAGGGGAGGGGGGGTAAAAGAGGGAGGGGGTAAGAAAGGGGAGGGGGTAAGAAAGGGGAAGAAGAGGAGGGGGAGTAAGAACGGGTAAGAGGGGAGAGGGAAGTAAGAAGAGGGGGAGGGGGGAGTAAGAAGGGGGTAAGAAGTTCTTTATTTGAAATTTAAAGGGTTTTTTCCCTGAAATTTCCTTCTTAAAATGAGGTGCGTGTTATACGCCGATAAATACGGTAATTTTGGCTACAAAGTGCATTGAGTAACCAGACTCAAATACAGCCCTTAACATAAAAAAGTGTCAAACCACAAAAACATAATTAGACGGACCAGATTGCACTTTAATGCGCAAAGCATTGAACCCTTCAATTACTAATATGATAAACTAGGAAACAGCATGAGTACTGTACCTTCTCCATAAAAGTAATGAAGTTAAGTAAAAATTTATATAATGCATCTGGGAGCAACCCCCACATTGATACATACACATCAAGTAACATCGGTCAGTAAAATGTATCGTAGATTACCTTTTAAACTGACAAGTGCTTTTGCAGAGGAATCTAAAATAAAAATATAAAATCAGATATGTTTGTTTTTTTTAAAATCAGGATAATTCTGCTTTTACAGTATTGCATTATCAGAGGATATGAACCATGCCCCTTTCCACCACATTTGCTTTTTCTTTTTTTAGACATGAAGACAAGAATCACCTGTCTTTGATAAATAAGAAACATAACACTTTTATCTCAGGGGTAAGAAAACACGGTCGGTCTTTCTCCCATTATTTAGATATAAAGTAACAGAGGGGTGGTCTTTCTCCCATAATTTAGTATTTAATTGATAATACTATATAAAGCACAGATATAAGGTAACAGATAGGGGAGCACAGATATAATGTAACAGATAGGGGAGCACAGATATAAGGTAACAGATAGGGGAGCACAGATATAAGGTAACAGATAGGGGAGCACAGATTTAAGGTAACAGATAGGGGAGCACAGATATAAGGTAACAGATAGGGGAGCACAGATATAAGGTAACAGATAGGGGAGCACAGATATAAGGTAACAGATAGGGGAGCACAGATATAAGGTAACAGATAGGGGAGCACAGATTTAAGGTAACAGATAGGGGGGCACAGATATAAGGTAACAGATAGGGGGGCACAGATATAAGGTAACAGATAGGGGGGCACAGATATAAGGTAACAGGTAGGGGGGCAGCCAGATATAAAGTAACAGGTAGGGGGCAGATAAAGTAACAGGTGGTGGGGGCACAGATATAAAGTAACAGGTAGGGGAAGATATAAAGCAACAGGTGGGGGGGGGCACAGAGATATAAAGTAACAGGTAGGGAAGTACACATAAAGTAACAGGTAGGGGGGGCAAGAGATATATAAAGTAACAGGTAGGGGGGGGGCACAGATATAAAGTAACAAAGCAGCCAGATATAAAGGACAGATAGGGGGGCACAGATATAAAGCAGATGCAGGGGGGGCAATGATATAAAGTGACAGGAAAAGGCTAGATATAAAGTAACAGATAAAGTACAGATATAAAGTGACAGGTAGGAAGCACAGATATAAAGTGACAGGTAGGGGGGGCATGACATAAAGTAACAGATAGGGGGGCAAGGGGATATAAAGGACAGGTAGGGGGGAACAGATATAAAATAGATAGGGGGGTGGCCAGATATAAAGTGATTATGGTGGGGGGCAATAGACATAAAGTAACAGGTAGGGGGCACAGATATAAAGTGACAGGAAGCACAGATATAAAGTAACAGATAGGGGGCAATAGATATAAAGCACAAAGTCAGGATATAAAATATTAGGGGGCACAGATATAAAGTGACAGAAACAGATATAAAGTGATTGTGATAGGGGCACAGATATAAAGGACAGATATAAAGTAACAGGGGGCACAGATATAAAGTGACAGGTAGGGGGGCACAGATATAAAGTAACAGATAGGGGGGCACAGATATAAAGTGACAGGTAGGGGGGCACAGATATAAAGTAACAGATAGGGGGGCACAGATATAAAGTGACAGGTAGGGGGGAACAGATATAAAGTAACAGAGGCCGGCCCTATTCGCAGTGCCCCCCCTCGGTTATGATGGCGTCATGTAAACACAGAGCAGGAGCCCTGGGGGGGGAGGGGCTGTCACTGACAGCTGGGAGTCTGGCCATTCACTGACACAGCTCCCCCCCAGCTGGCAAGGACTACAATCCCCAGCAGGCTCTGCGACCCGCAGCCTGGCAATGACTACAATCCCCAGCAGGCTCTGCGACCACCAGCCCGGCAAGGACTACAATCCCCAGCAGGCTCTGCGACCCCCAGCCCGGCAATGACTACAATCCCCAGCAGGCTCTGCGACCCCCATCCCGGCAATGACTACAATCCCCAGCAGGCTCTGCGACCCCCAGCCCGGCAAGGACTACAATCCCCAGCAGGCTCTGCGACCCGCAGCCCGGCAAGGACTACAATCCCCAGCAGGCTCTGCGACCCCCAGCCCGGCGAGGGATCATGGGACTGGTAGTCCTCCATGTTAGTGGGAGGGCTGGCTCCCATGATGCCTTGCGGCAGCCCGGCCCGCTGTGGGGAGGTTTCCCAGGTAACCCGCTGACAGCACTCACCCTCCACATCCTCCAGCTCCGCCCGCGGGGACTCCCCCCCCGGCTCCTCGCCTCCCGCGGGGCCCCTGGCGGCCTTCATGCGTTTCATGGAGCGGTGCTGGCCCGCTGGGGCCGCTGGCTCAGGCTGACGGGCTGAGGGAGCCTGGCTCTGGTTTGAACTCCCCTCTCAGCGCCGCCATTCCACGTCCGCTCGCGGTGCTCGGCGAGAGTGTGACGTCACCACGCAGGGAGAGAGAGCGAGGCAGAGCGCGCGGGCTGCGTGCGCGTCCCCGAGAGCGAGAGATAGGGCGCGCGTCCCCGAGACAGGGACACAGGGAGCGCGCGCGGCCACAGCCAGATATAGAGAGACACTGGCAGTGACAGGGTTAATCTCTCTCTATACACCATGCCTGGCAGTGACAGGGTTAATCTCTTTCTATACACCATGCCTGGCAGTGACTGGGTTAATCTCTCTCTATACACCATGGCTGGCAGTGACAGGGTTAATCTCTCTCTATGCACCATGCCTGGCAGTGACTGGGTTAATCTCTCTCTATACACCATGCCTGGCAGTGACTGGGTTAATCTCTCTTATATACACCATGCCTGGCAGTGACTGGGTTAATCTCTCTCTATACACCATGCCTGGCACTGACTGGGTTAATCTCTCTCTATGCACCATGCCTGGCAGTGACAGGGTTAATCTCTCTCTCTATACACCATGCCTGGCAGTGACTGGGTTAATCTCTCTCTATACACCATGCCTGGCAGTGACTGGGTTAATCTCTCTCTCTATACACCATGCCTGGCAGGGACTGGGTTAATCTCTCTCTATACACCATGCCTGGCAGTGACTGGGTTAATCTCTCTCTATACACCATGCCTGGCAGTGACAGGGTTAATCTCTCTATACACCATGCCTGGCAGTGACTGGGTTAATCTCTCTCTATACACCATGCCTGGCAGTGACTGGGTTAATCTCTCTCTATACACCATGCCTGGCAGTGACTGGGTTAATCTCTCTCTATACACCATGCCTGGCAGTGACTGGGTTAATCTCTCTCTATACACCATGCCTGGCAGTGACTGGGTTAATCTCTCTCTATACACCATGCCTGGCAGTGACAGGGTTAATCTCTCTCTATGCACCATGCCTGGAAGTGACTGGGTTAATCTCTCTCTCTATACACCATGCCTGGCAGTGACAGGGTTAATCTCTCTCTATACACCATGCCTGGCAGTGACTGGGTTAATCTCTTTCTATACACCATGCCTGGCAGTGACAGGGTTAATCTCTTTCTATACACCATGCCTGGCAGTGACTGGGTTAATCTCTCTCTATATACCATGCCTGGCAGTGACAGGGTTAATCTCTCTCTATACGCCATGCCTGGCAGTGACTGGGTTAATCTCTCTCTATACGCCATGCCTGGCAGTGACAGGGTTAATCTCTCTATACACCATGCCTGGCACTGACTGGGTTAATCTCTCTCTATACACCATGCCTGGCACTGACTGGGTTAATCTCTCTCTATATACACCATGCCTGGCAGTGACTGGGTTAATCTCTCTCTCTATACACCATGCCTGGCAGTGACTGGGTTAATCTCTATACACCATGCCTGGCAGTGACAGGGTTAATCTCTCTATACACCATGCCTGGCATTGACTGGGTTAATCTCTCTATACGCCATGCCTGGCACTGACTGGGTTAATCTCTCTATATACACCATGCCTGGCAGTGACTGGGTTAATCTCTCTCTATATACACCATGCCTGGCAGTGACTGGGTTAATCTCTCTCTATATACACCATGCCTGGCACTGACTGGGTTAATCTCTCTCTATACACCATTCCTGGCAGTGACTGGGTTAATCTCTCTCTATACACCATGCCTGGCACTGACAGGGTTAATCTCTCTCTATACACCATGCCTGGCACTGACAGGGTTAATCTCTCTCTATACACCAGTGCGACCCCCAGTCCGGCAAGGACTACAATCCCCAGCAGGCTCTGCGACCCACAGCCCGGCAAGGACTACAATCCCCACTACTATGCACCATGCCTGGCACTGACAGGGTTAATCTCTCTCTATGCACCATGCCTGGCAGTGACAGGGTTAATCTCTCTCTCTATACACCATGCCTGGCAGTGACGGGGTTAATCTCTCTCTATACACCATGCCTGGCAGTGACTGGGTTAATCTCTCTATACACCATGCCTGGCACTGACGGGTTAATCTCTCTCTATGCACCATGCCTGGCACTGACAGGGTTAATCTCTCTATACACCATGCCTGGCAGTGACTGGGTTAATCTCTCTCTATACACCATGCCTGGCACTGACTGGGTTAATCTCTCTCTATACACCATGCCTGGCAGTGACTGGGTTAATCTCTGTATACACCATGCCTGGCAGTGACTGGGTTAATCTCTCTCTCTATACACCATGCCTGGCACTGACTGGGTTAATCTCTCTCTCTATACACCATGCCTGGCAGTGACTGTGTTAATCTCTCTCTATACACCATGCCTGGCAGTGACTGGGTTAATCTCTCTCTCTATACACCATGCCTGGCAGTGACTGGGTTAATCTCTCTCTATACACCATGCCTGGCACTGACTGGGTTAATCTCTCTATACACCATGCCTGGCAGTGACTGGGTTAATCTCTCTCTATACACCATGCCTGGCACTGACTGGGTTAATCTCTCTGTATACGCCATGCCTGGCAGTGACAGGGTTAATCTCTCTCTATACGCCATGCCTGGCACTGACTGGGTTAATCTCTCTCTATACGCCATGCCTGACAGTGACAGGGTTAATCTCTCTCTCTATACACCATGCCTGGCACTGACTGGGTTAATATCTCTCTCTATACACCATGCCTGGCAGTGACAGGGTTATTCTCTCTGTATACGTCATGCCTGGCAGTGACTGGGTTAATCCCTCTCTATACACCATGCCTGGCACTGACTGGGTTAATCTCTGTATACACCATGCCTGGCAGTGACAGGGTTAATCTCTCTATATACACCATGCCTGGCAGTGACAGGGTTAATCTCTCTCTATACACCATGGCTGGCAGTGACAGGGTTATTCTCTCTCTATACACCATGCCTGACACTGACTGGGTTAATCTCTCTCTATACACCATGCCTGGCAGTGACAGGATTAATCCCTGAGGGAGACTGCAACTAGAGGCTGGATTAACCCTGCAGTTTAAACATAGCACTCAGCTGCAGGGTTAAAACTAAGGAGACCTGGCACCCAGACCAATTCATTGGGCTGAAGTGGCCTTGGTGTTTACAGTGGGTTTTTTTTTTAGCTGTAGTTGTTCTGGTGACTATAGTGGCCCTTTAACATCTGATTGAAATTTAAACCATGCTTTTTTATTTCATGCTGGCTGAGAGTCACAACCAGGTAGATGTGGCTAGGGCTGCACTGACAAACAAAAGTGATTTAATAAAAGGGAAAACCGTTTTTAACTTACATTTCCCCCTGCGGCTAGCTCCTCCTCCAGTTACATCATCCTGTAGGGGTCCCTCCATCACCTTCTCAGCACTGGGGTCAAGAAGCACATGCACAGCTATCCAATGCTCACAGCGAATCTTTAAATACAATGCTTCCCTCCGAGCAGCATTTAATGCCGTTTATCCCTTCATTGCAAACACTGCCATATCTACTAAATGTCAATGTTTTACATTGAGATTGGTGCTTTTAGTGATTGTGTATACTAACATTTTATACAGAAAAATCATCATGTAATAAAATATTTAGTGTTCGTGAAAAAATCAAATTCACAAATCTTTTTGTAAAGAAAAGGTTATAAAAACACATCTATATATATATATAAATAATTTTTCTTATGTGATTGTACTTTGCAGCCACAATATCTCTGACACGGATTTGTCTGAAAAGTACAAAAAATAAATACAGGATTATTCACTAAAGCTTAAATTGTCAGGAATTCAATGAGAATTTCATATTTTCAAATCAGAAAAATGTAAAGTTTTAATATTTGAAAACACATGAGGACAAGTCAGTATGTCCTATCTATAGTGGGCTTTAATGCTATTACAGCGTACGGACACGTCCTGAACCCCTGCTCACACCAGGAAGACCCCTCTCAGCTGGGGCCATTTTTAGTGAGTCAGTCCTGCAAGCAGCTCTACAGGTATTCTGGGTTTGGTGTAACGCGGATTTATGGATAGTGTAAGAAAAGGCAGTGTTTACATTAAAATGCATACAGGTACTGACTACACTCCAGAACAACTACATTAAGCTGTAGTTGTTCTGGTGACTATAGTGTCCCTTTAATGTAGGTATACCTCTAGGTCATGTTCCTGTGCATCCAACTTGTCTGGTTACAATTACATTTTTGTTAATCCACCCATTGTAAAGCGCTATGGAATTTGTTGGCGCTATGGAATTTGTTGGCGCTATATAAATAATAATGTATACAGTTAGCATTAGTGTAAGCATAGGGTTAGTGTTGGCATAACATTAGGTGAGGAGTTGGTAAAGGGTTTAAACATGAACTACCCAAAATGTATTTAGATCCTAGACATAGCATACATTTAACAAACAAAACTGATAGAGGAATACATTTTTCCTAGCGGCAGATCTTAATAAAGTCAGCGGTCATTTTCTTCCTCCCTTCCATGCGGCAGATTTCAAGCCAAAAAAAGGAAGTTAATTCTTTAATTGAACTGGATGTGTAAAAATTATTTTATGCAAAAATGAGGGGGACAATGCATTTTCCCCATGTTTAACATTTTATTCACAGTTAAAGCTGTGTCAGGTATATATAAAAAGTAAATGAAAGCCAACAAACAAACAGCGCAAATTCTAGGCTTTGTTTTGGTTCAGAACTTGGCCAATTGCCTTTAACCCCTTAAGGACACATGACATGTGTGACATGTCATGATTCTCTTTTATTCCAGAAGTTTGGTCCTTAAGGGGTTAAAGGATTAAAAATGTGATATTCACTTTGAATTCCCAACAACTAATACTTTTGTTAATACTCCTGTATGTGTCTTAGAAAGGTGGGGTAAAATCCCCCCCCCCCGGTAAATTAAAAGGAGACGGGTTTCAATGAAGTCCAACATAAAGAGGAACGATGAACTGCAAACGCACATTTTTTCCAGATGTACAGAATACGCTCTAATATTGCACGCAACAAGTGTTATGAAACTACGACGGGGTTTATACACTAAACACCAAATTGTACTGTATTTTATAAAAAAAAAAAATGATTTGTAAAATATACACAAAAATAGTGTGGTAAATTAACAACACAAAGTTTTCCAATTTTAGCCCGAATATCTACTTTGCACGGACTAGTGATTAAACCGTAGTGCAGGGACAGGCGTACTTGGAAAAGTGTTTGTTCTAGAGGAACAAATGTAAATTATGTGACCGAGGGCGTGACTATAAGCTCAAAGTAAAATATAAAATGAGGAACATTGGATTTTTAATAAATATTTTCATACGAGCCGTAAATGCTCAGCAATTTTCAGAGGTTGTCCATGCTAAAAAATGTCAAGCAAACATTGTGCATATTCCACAGTAAAAGTAAGGCACAGAATCAGTTAAAGGGCTGAGTGCATTTATTTTATTCTGATCTAAGAGGTGCGCAAACATACCATGCCTTCTAGAATGTTCTATACACCGTATTCTAACATTTAACTCTCCAATTGCAGAGCAACCTTTATCTTAGTACAGCAAAAGCAACATGCTGTTCACAGCCGATCAATTGTATTCACTAACCTTTCAGGGATATTCACTATACCGTCAATTGGTCATCCACCTCGCATATTTTGGATTTAACTTTGCAATACTTTGAGAATTGCTGATAATTCCCAGTTTAGTAAATAATCCTACGTGAATTGTGATGACCTAAATCAAATTGTAAACACTAACCCTAAAATAGGAAACATTTTTTTCCAACTATGCCATACTGGTATAAATGTAGCCATATTCAGTCCACCACAATTCACAGTTAAGTAAATAAATCCATTGGTTAAAAAACAAACAAACAAACCCCAAAAACAAAGAAAAACACCAACGAAAAACAAATAAAAATCTGTACAAAATAGGTAACATGGTATCACCGGTAAGAAAGTTTTTTTTTTTTGTTTTTTTATATATATTTTTTTTTTTTTAAACTGAAAATAAACGGTTGTTTAACATTTGAAAGAAATTTGGAAGAACGGATCGAACAGAACGGTAGAATTTTTTTTTTTCAAAAGCCAACTGGTCAACTTTTTAAAGTTAAGGACTATTTGTCACATTAGGTTCCAAACAAACAGGGATCGGACAGCTCAAACTGGAATAGACTGCTATAATGTAACTGTATATATTCTTTGAATACACAAACCTTATACAGCATTCTTTATAAACCCTATACTTTGCATTGCCTATGGGGTCAGTAAGGTATGGCTTGGATTGAAGCCCTCCGACACAGATTCAAAAAGAGGAAGTAAAAGTTTGTATCTGCAGACAATAGTTCATTGGTTTCCCAGGCAGGAGACATCAATGCAAATGATTAGGTCAGATCCAATGCATATTCAGAGTGTAGGTTGGTATACACAATACAATGTGTGATCACCACAACATGCCCCCTCGGTAGTTGAATTTCAGCTTCAGCAGGTATTTTAAATGGACTTGGGCAACATCATAGACAATGTATCTGAAGAGGAAGTGGTTAAGGTGCATAGAAGTAGATTTAGACAAGGTTTGGATCAGATTTAATGCTACAATGCAAAACCTGAGGGGAGCGAAAGACAGGAGAAATTCAGAAAAGGGGGAGAGAGAATGGGTGGGAGAAAGACACAGAAAAGAGATATACAGAAATGAAAGCATTGCTAATTTGTTTCACCCCAATACAGCTAAATTCGAACACTACTGAATGAGAGAATGAATGAGAAAGTCTACCTACTGAATGTGAGAATGAGAACATCTACCCTATTGATTGAGAGAATGAGAAAGTCTACCTACAGAGTGAGAGAGACAGAGAGAGGATGAATGAGAAAGTCTACCTACCAAGTGAGAGAGACAGAGGATGAATGAGAAAGTCTACCTACTGAATGTGAGTGAATGAGAACATCTACCCTATTGATTGAGAGAATGCGAAAGTCTACCTAGCGAGTGAGAGAGAATGAGAAAGTCTACCTACTGAATGTGAGTGAATGAGAACATCTACCCTATTGATTGAGAGAATGCGAAAGTCTACCTAGCGAGTGAGAGAGAATGCGAAAGTCTACCTAGCGAGTGAGAGAATGAGAACATCTACCCTACTGATTGAGAGAATGAGAACATCTACCCTACTGATTGAGAGAATGAGAACATCTACCCTACTGATTGAGAGAATGAGAACATCTACCCTACTGATTGAGAGAATGAGAACATCTACCCTACTGATTGAGAGAATGAGAAAGTCTACCTAGCGAGTGAGTGAGAATGAGAAAGTCTACCTAGCGAGTGAGAGAGACAGAGAGAGGATGAATGAGAAAGTCTACCTACTGAATGTGAGTGAATGAGAACATCTACCCTATTGATTGAGAGAGAGAATGAGAAAGTCTACCTACCAAGTGAGAGAGACAGAGAGAGGATGAATGAGAGTCTACATACTGAATGAGAACATCTACCCTATTGATTGAGAGAGAGAATGAGAAAGTCTACCTACCAAGTGAGAGAGAATGAATGAGAAAGTTAATGACAACATCTACCCTATTGACAGAGAGAGAATGAGAAAGTCTACCTAGCGAGTGAGAAAGACAGAGAGAGAATGAATGAGAAAGTCTACCTACTGAATGTGAGAGTGAATGAAAACATCTACCCTACTGATTGAGAGAATGAGAAAGTCTACCTAGCGAGTGAGAGAGAATGAGAAAGTCTACCTAGCGAGTGAGAGAGAGTGAGAATTTCTTGGTAGGAAGGCTAGAAAAGTCTACTTGAGTGAGAATAGAAAGTCTACCTAGCAGTGAGAGAATGAAAGTCTACCTAGCGGTGAGAGAAAGGCCAGAAGAGATCTACCTAGCGAGTGAGAGAAGGGCAGAAAAGTCTACCCCTAGCGGTGAGAGAGAGAGAGAATGAGAAAGTCTACCTAGCGGTGAGAGAGAGAATGAAAGTCACACCTAGCGAGTGAGATTTGGGAGAGAAAGTCTACCTAGCGAGTGAGATTTGGAGAAAGTCTACACAGCAGTGAGATTTGGAGAAAGATCTACCTAGCGAGTGAGATTTGGAGAAAGTCTACCTAGCGAGTGAGATTTGGAGAAAGTCTACCTAGCGAGTGAGATTTGGAGAAAGTCTACCTAGCGAGTGAGAGAATGAAAACATCTACCCTATTGATTGAGAGAATGAGAAAGTCTACCTAGCGAGTGAGATTTGGAGAAAGTCTACCTAGCGAGTGAGAGAATGAGAAAGTCTACCTAGCGAGTGAGAGAATGAGAAAGTCTACCTAGCGAGTGAGAGAGAATGAGAAAGTCTACCTAGCGAGTGAGAGAGAATGAGAAAGTCTACCTAGCGAGTGAGAGAGTAGAAGACTGCCTAGCGGTGAGAGAGAATAGAAGAAGTCTACCTAGCAGTGAGAGAAGGGAATGAAAGTCTACCTAGCGAGTGAGAGAGAATGAGAAAGAGTCACCTAGCGAGGTGAGAGAGAGAATGAGAAAGTCTACACCTACTTGGTGAGAGAGAATGAGAAAGTCTACCTAAGCAGTGAGAGAGAGAATGAGAAAGTCTACCTAGCGAGAGTGAGAGAATGAAAGTCTACCTACTTGAAGTGAGAGAGAATGAGAAAGTCTACCTAGCGTGAGAGAGAATGAGAAAGTCACACCTAGCGAGGTGAGAGAGAATGAAAGTCTACCTAGCGAGTGAGAGAGAATGAGAAAGTCTACCTAGCGAGTGAGAGAGAATGAGAAAGTCTACCTAGCGAGTGAGAGAGAATGAGAAAGACTACCTAGCGAGTGAGAGAGAATGAGAAAGTCTACCTAGCGAGTGAGAGAGAATGAGAAAGTCTACCTAGCGAGTGAGAGAGAATGAGAAAGTCTACCTAGCGAGTGAGAGAGAATGAGAAAGTCTACCTAGCGAGTGAGAGAGAGAGAATGAGAAAGTCTACCTAGCGAGTGAGAGAGAATGAGAAAGTCTACCTAGCGAGTGAGAAAATGAGAAAAAGTGTAATTTTACTCACCGTAAATTCCTTTTTCCTGAATATGGTGGCAGTACAATAGGGATGTACTCTTCCCTTGGGACAAGCATCTGAAATGAATAATTAACATAAAACGTTCCTCCCCTTACCAGGTATGAGAGACCAAACCAGCCCTGGGACCTCAGTACGTACCATGAACACCTCAGTGAATCCATAGAACACCAAACAATTAATATATACATAAAGGGAGGGAGTGATGTACTGCCACCATATTAAGGAAAAAGGAATTAACGGTGAGTAAAATTACAGTTTTTCCTGACATATGGTGGCAGTACAATAGAGTATATCGAGATCCCAGACTAAGGGCGGAAATTTAGGCAATAACAGCTTGTAACACCTTGTGCCCAAAATCAGCGTCAAAGGCAGAGAATACGTGTAGCCTGTAATGTTTGGCGAAAGTGTTGAAAGAAGACCAGGTAGCCGCCTTGCATATATCTTCCGGAGAGGCACACACTTTTTTGGCCCAAGAGGCAGCCATGGCTCTAGTAGAATGTGCTTTCAAGGAGGCAGGCAGAGGTAAATTCTAGGTAGAATAAGCCAACTTTATAGTATCCACCAGCCATCTTGCCAAAGTGGCCTTGGAGGCAACTTGGCCTTTAAATTTTCCAAAGAAATTCACGAATAGATGATCAGTCATCCTATACGAGGAGGAGCGGTCCAAGTAGATTTTCAGAGACCTACCAACATCTAGTTAACTCCGATCAAATTCCCAATCTGGCATAGATGGACCATTAAGGAAAGAAGAAAAATAGGTTGGTTGATAACCTTGGAGGAGATGAGTTTCGGAAGAAAGAAAGGCTTAGGGAACATAACCACTTTATCCGGAAGAAATTTTGTAAAGTCAGGAGAGGAAGAAAGGGCCTGGGATATGCACCAGTGAAGAAATCTCGTCCAAATCTTTTAGATAGAAGAGGTAGAGCTCCTGGTAGAATTTAACAGTAACTGAAACCTCTCTTCTTTAATGCCCCTATTATGCAGAATTAGCCGTGCAGCAGCCAAGCCGTCAACCTGAACATGTTCAATACTTCTACTGGAATTCCCTCATTTTCCAGAAGATCCGGTGTTACCGGGAGAATCCAGTACTTTAAAGCAATTTTCTTTAAAACCGAGAACCAGCTGCGGTTAGGCCAGTACAGTATTATGGCCAGAATATGAGCTTGATCTGATGTTACCTTTTGCAGAATCCTTGGGACAAGGCTTACTTGGGGAAAAATGTAAGCAAGGGGAAACTCCCACCGGATCGAAAGACCATCCATTACCAGCGGCCTGTCTACCTTGAAGAGGGAAGCAAATTATCTTAGTTTTGCATTTGATCTTCTTGCCATAAGGTCTATAAGGAAGACCGAATCTCTTCACCAGCTGAGCGAAAATTTCTGGACTGGAGAGACCACTCGTTCTGGGACCATTTTGATCTGCTTAAATCGTCCGCTACCACGTTGTCTATTCCACGAATGTGAATGGCTGAAATGTCGTCTAGATGATTTTGAGCCCAGGACATAATCCGTGAGCAAAGGAAATACAATTTTTTTTTTACGCTTGTACCGCCTTGTTTGTTCAGGTAGGAGACTGTAGTCTAATTGTCCGACTGGATTTTTACAGCTTTCCCTACAATGAAATCCTTAAACTGCTGAAGAGCGTAGAGTACTGCTAACACCTCCTTGAAATTTGAAGATTCCTTTGTTTCATTTTTCTACCAAACACCTTATCTTAAGTGATACAGGAGGTGTAATGAATTGTAATGAATTTTTCCTTTAGCCACCAAGAGATTTTTTATTTTGTATGATCTGATATACTCATTAATGCATCCAAGTCTTCTTCCTTCTTTGACCATTGGACAAAAATGTCCCACTGTAAGGGCCTTGATTCCGCTCTGGCACATTTTACTGCCGGGATTGTTGAGGTCAGATAACCTAAAACCTGCATGGCGTTCCTCACTGAACATTCTGACATCCGAAGAAGGTTTATTAAAATCTTTATCTCTTTTCTCTTGTCAGATGAACCGACAGAGTGTCTGACTTGATCAAAAACCCTAGAAACAGGTGATTTTTCTAGGTTGATAATCCAACCATTTTCTTACAGGATTTCTAGTGTATAGGCCACATTGCCTCTTCAATCTGCCTTTATTAACCAGTCGTCCAAGTAAGGTACTACTATGATTCCTTGCATCCCCAAAGAAGCTGTGACAGGTGTGAGGACCTTTGTAAAAATCTTGTGTGCTGAAGCTAGCCTGAATGGAAGGGCTCTGAATTGGAAATGATGGACATTTTTCCCTTTCCTTATAGCAATCCTCAGGTATTTTCTTGATTTCACATCCATAGGAATATGCAGATAGGCATCCTTTAGATCCAAAGTTGCCATGAAATCTCCTTTTCGAAGGATATGAGTGACAGACGCTATAGTCTCCATTCTGAAATGTTGGTAAGGAATGAGCTTGTTCAGGTTTTTTTAGATCCAAGATTGGACGAAAAGACATGTCTGGTTTTGGGACTAGGAACAACCGGAAGTATACACCCTGATATACTTGGGAAGTTGGAATCCTTTCTACCACACCTTTTCTTAATAGGGAGACAGTGGCAGAAAAAAGAGCTTGGTTTTATAACTTCGACCGGTAGGAGGAGACAAGGAAACTTGGTCTTGGAACATCAAGAATTTTATTCGGTATCCTTTTTGCACCAGATTCAAAATCCATGGATTTGTAGTGGTCTCCCTCCATCTGTGAACAGTCTTGGTTATCACCCAGGCCATCTTCCAAAGTGTTAAGCCAAAGATTCTGAGCTCTCACCACTGAAGCCCCGGCTAATGCTGCTTTAGCCTGAAAACCTGCAACCTGATAAGCCCTTCTGCTGGAAGTTTCAGCCCTCTTATCCATAGTCTTTCAGACCAGAAACTTCCCCAATAGGTATGGTAGTTTTTTTTTTTGTTTTTTTTTTAGACAATTGAGCCACTTGTACATCAACTACCGGCAATTCTTCCCATTTATCTTCCTCCTCCATTTTAACAATACTTTTAAAATGTCTGGAGATAAAAGCCTTTTTCTCAGGTTCTTCCATTCTCTGAAAATCAAATCCAGCATTTTTTTGTTGGACTGGAAGTGCTTTACTCTTGGATTTGTCTACCGTTTCATCAGAAAGGATAACATTAACCTCTTTAATACATTTTCTCAATTCATCGTGAGGAAAACCAACCTCAGTATGAGAAGAGTCGCTAGAGGATTCTGAATAAGAAAAAGAACAATCACCCGAGAATAGTTCTGAACTAGATAGTTCTGAACTCTTCCTTTTAGACTTCTCCTGTAAAAGCTACTAAACAGGTGTGAGCAGGTTCTTTAAAAGACTCAAAAGTCTGGGCCAGATTATCCTGAAACCAAGACAAAAAGGATTTCATCTCTTGTTGCTTGGATTTTTCTAGCGTCAAAGAAGAGCAAATATTACAGACTTTCCTTTTAAAACCATCAGGTAAAGAAGTAGAGCATTCACTACAACAGAGATGGTTAGCTTTGGAACTGGCTTTTTTAGAAGGACTAGACCTATCTGTAATACATAAGCAAATAAACCATCCATGCTGACAGTAAGATCTGCACAGCATACATAGGCAGATCCTTTGAAATCTGGCGCCATTTCGGGAAGGTCAGACCGCGCATGCGCATAGCGGGGCGGGAACTCATAACCAGCCGGGTGTGCGTTCCACCGCAGTGCGCATGCGTCTCCAACGTCACTGATTTGCTGCCACTAGAGACCGCCTCCCTGCTTCGCCGTTGACAGCACTCGGCATAAAGCAGGCTTACCATACCTGCTCAATAATTCTGCAGTATGCTTGATGACCATTCAGCTCTCCACCCGGGAGGCTATAAGACCGGATCCCCCGGCAGCAACCCATGTGCCTCACCATCTCATTCCAGATGCCGTCCGTTCCTGATGGAACAAGAAAAAGAACTGGTTTGGTCTCTTATACCTGGTATGGGGAGGAACTTTTTATGTTAATTATTTATTTCAGATGCTTGTCCCGAGGGAAGAGTACATCCCTATTGTACTGCCACCATATGTCAGGAAAATCTACCTAGCGAGTGAGAGAATGAGAAAATCTACCTAGCGAGTGAAAGAACAAAACAAAATCTACCCTACTGAGAGAGACTCTTCTTGTTCATGTTACTCTAATAAATATGAGCGCCCACTGATTGCAAACCATGAAAGGATACTCGTTATACAGCAGTCTAGCATCAGTCTTCGAAAAAACGCCTTTTCCCAAAGGAACATCAACGCCATCAAGTTGTACAGTAGCAGACGGATCTGGTGCAGTTCCACCAATACCTGTAGGTAACAGATTATTGATACATTACTCAAACGTATTCGAAACAAAAATGATCATTACTTAAACCAAACTCTGTGCCTCTTTCTGTAAAATCTGTAAAGATATGCATAGGTAACCCGTACTCCTGCCTTCCAGAGCTGTAGGTTTAAACCTTCTGCAGAATCCAGAAGCAGGATAATGGCCCATTTGAGGAATATACTCACTAAACAGTAAGCAGAGGCAACTTCACGAAGTGTGAAATTCAGGCTACAAGAACATTTAAGGAAAAAGAAGCACCTATATCTGTATAGCACAGACTTACCTTTAACACTGTGTTTTCCCTTGGGTAATTTTGTAATATGGGTAGCGTTTGCCAGTTCGTGCCTTTAATGAGAAAGAAAAAAATTTAAATTTCAAGACTGAGGAAATTGAAACAGACCTTTAACTTATCTCAAATACCCATAGCCAATCACTTGCAAGAGGAAAGCCATCCTAATAAAATACAGAATGACAATCAACAGACCAAACAGTATTCGCAATAAAACTAACATTTGTGTTGATACGGCAGATCCCTCTCACTCGCCCAGATAATTGCAGGGAATTTTAGTGCCTGTTTGTTTTTAGTGTGAGACCTAAACATTACCAGCATCAAAGGTAAATAAATACTCTATCACTGGGGGTCCCTGGCCCAGTATTAGAAGGGTGGGTAGTACTTCACTACTCCCCCCTAGGTCCATCTCAATGCCAGTCATGTGACCATGTTCTACACATACATAACAAATAACAAACATAAAAAAACAAGGTAGACTGAGGTAATCATGAAACTGGTATCGGTTCTTTTCATTAGCTTTTTGAATCTAGGATGTACCTTGGGCCCACGGGATCCATTAAATGGACTTAACCAAGAAGTCCAACTGTGTATGTTTTTAGGGGTCATTGGTATATTTATTGTGTTATCGATTTCACGGAAAAGCAACAATAGAAATGAGCAAGTTTTGTGAAATAATTTTCATGGTTTCTCTTTCTTAATGAATGACTTACATGTTTCCTAGAGCCACTTCTCCCAGAAGAATTAAGCCAAGAGGGTTACCCGGCATTGCATGGCAGTAATTTGCACTTTTGGAGACCATATCAGCAAAGTAGATACCTTTACCAAACATGTAACCGGTCTGTGAGAGAGAAGCAGCATTTAGTCAACGAGCTCAATAAAACAACCATGTTTCTCGTAACAGATCAACACTACAGGAAATCATTACATTCCGCAGCAGATCCCCAAGATAAATGAGTAAACTGTGCAAAGTGAACTTACAACAGGAGCTTCGGGTGGAGCGATTCGTAGACCCTGAGACAAAATACCAGCAAAGTTTGTAGTGCGGGAACCGTGCCATAGCAGCTGGCGGTTGTGTAGCTGTTTGAAAGGCTTGTACCTCTGTCTTTCTCCTTCACGATCAATCTTAAAGATCTTTTGGTTGACAGAACGAAGAGAGAGGGAGTGGGGAAGAAAAGAAAGTCAGTTGATATGAGGAAACACTAATAAAGAAACTAATCTGTTACTTGTGACTTTTTTCAGTGTGGAGTTTGTTCAAGTGAAAGATGCAAAATGTAAAGATTAAAGAAAATAAAAAAAATCTTCAACTCCATTTTGCAACTTGGAATTTAATGCAACACAATTTGCAACATAGTGAATAATAGGATGTATTTTTTTTTAAGCAGGAATGTTGAGCAGTTTTTCATTAGAAGTTGTTTTTAAGCCTTTCACAGAGTTAAAGTTTCACATATAGTTTTCTTCTATGTTTGGTGCTTGGAAACATCTAATCTCTGTGAAACAAAAACCCAATCCTTTAACCCCTTAAGGACACAACTTCTGGAATAAAAGGGAATAATGACGGAATATTTCCATCATGTGTCCTTAAGGGGTTAAAGAAAAATAAAAAACAATTCCTATCCCACCCTAATATTCTATCAACACTAGTACCCAACCTTCTCTCCCTTTACAATGTAGGGATGCAGGAGACTCTCTCTGTCTCTCTCGATAGTTCTCTATCAAGTCCTTAAAGGACTTCAAACCCAACATTTTCCAACAAGAAAGAGAAATAGAATTCTTACAGATTTAATATTGTATAAAAATCAACTCACATCGAGGATTTCCAGTTCGTAATTGTTGTGTGTTTCTGCATGCGTGTTCTTGACATATTGATGAATAATTTTGGCTTCTTCTGAATCTTTGTCAACAACCTATAGAGGCAAGATGCACACATTGCACTGATGATCAAAACATAATGCTGATCCTCAAGTCCAAAGAGAGAGACAAACGTGGTATGGTTATCTACCATGAAGATGGTAAAGGGTTAGTATTTCAGTAACAAGGCGTACATGGAAGAATTATGAGTTTTAATGATAAGTGACTATTAAACCTCTACAACAATCACTGTGCAAAAGATGATACATTATTTTCTATGCAAAGAATGGTAGTGAGTTTATTTACCTTAATGTCAGTCTTGAGCTTTTCATACTTCACATCGATTGGATCTTTCTCGCCATCGTCCGTGCCACCCATAAGAAGGCTGTAAGCCACTTCAATGTCAAGAAGATTATCCAACATTTGAACTTTGGCCTAAAACCCACAAAGCTATAATTAAAACAAATCCACAAAAGCAAAACCAGATCTCAACACAGAGAACTTAACATGATAACAAAAAACAGATTTTATAACCCACCTGGATGTAGTCAGAGTTATTTAGCAATGGGGGTTTCTTCATTCCAAAATCATGAGGTATGAGAGTATAGAAACGGTTGGAGAGATCCAACAAACGGGCTTCGCCAGCATTGTCAGACACAGCCTAGAGCAAAATAAGGAACATTGTGTCAGCTGTTTGCCTTAGTCAAATTCTACAGATGTCTGATGCATGATCTGTACTCAACTCACCTGCTGTACTTCGTTGAGAATGGAGTAGGCGCTCTGGATCTGACGTTTGCTAAGCTTTCCCAAAGGCATCTTCTGAAGATCAATCTACAGCATACAAAGTATGAGATTAACTAGGAACCACAACCACATCAGTAGGTTTCATCGTGATAAAGAATATGAATAGCTAGGCACGGAACAAGAAAGCATATACTACAGCTAATAAAAATACAAACAAACAAAAAAAACAATGCTACTAATAATATTAAAGGGATCCTATAGTGCCAGGAAAACAAACTTGTTTTCCTGGCACTATATGATTATTAGGTCCCCCATCCCGCTGGGCTGAAGGGGCTAAAGCCCTTCAGCCACTTACCTTAATCCAGCGGAGTACTCCCTCGACGCTGTTGAACTCTCCTCCCCCTGCCGACGTCAGCTCCAAATGCGCATGCACGGCCAGAGCCATCACTCAATGCTTTCCTATGGACGTCCAGTGAGGATCGAGGAAGCAGCCTCTAGTGGCTGTCAAGGAGACGAGTGAGGATCGAGGAAGCAGCCACTAGTGGCTGTCAGGGAGACAGCCACTAGAGGCTGGATTAACCCTTAATGTAAACATAGCAGTTTCTCTTAAACTGCTATGTTTACAGTTGCAGGGTTAAAACTAGGGGGGACCTGGCGCCCAGATCACTTAATTGAGCTGAAGTCGTCTGGGTGCTTAGTGATCCTTCAATGAGAGAAGATGTGTTTTTTTCAGATTGGTATAGGGTAGATGACTTCTTTCCCATAATCCAATAGGGGAGAATCATAACTGTATCGCAAAATAAGAGTGGAACAATCACCATAAGAGCCAACAGAATGTTTTTTGCAGTTTAAAAGGTTTACCCACGGTGAAGCCTGCCCTTTTAGAACTTTGCACTATTTTATACTAGCAGTAGTTTTAGAAAAGATCCCACATGGTCTCAAGGAAATACTTTCATAAGAACACAGAGGAACCCTCATGACCATACCTCAAATTCCACCATGGCCTTCTTCATACTCTCCAAGTCAAATATCAGCTTGATGAGGTCTTGGACTGGTGGAGGAAGCTTGGATTTAGTGCCAGCATCTACAGAAAGCTTTTTCACCACCTCTTCCTCCTACAAATTATAAAACAACAAAATGAAAAATTAATCTTACCAACAGAGGTGTAGAGCGCTGTACAAGACACACCTTGTTATAAGACTCCCTAAATATTTAATAGTAAAAAAATAAGGGAACAGGGCATGTGATCGCTTATAGAAATGGACTTTTATTTAACTACTGCAGCCTTCCTTTTCCACATCCTTAATAGCTTGTAAGATTTTTGTTATAGCAAACTAGCGTCAAATATCGGATTAAATTATACCGAGGTTTTAACCAGCAAGTACAACCAATCAGCATGAATGGGAAAAAAAAAACAAAACACGACGACATGTTCATGCATACAGGCCATGTCACTTATCTCAATCTCTTTTTTAAAAAAAGCTAAACACATTTTTTGTAACTGCAGATGCTTTCATGCGGTTCATTTTTACGTCATCTCTCAACCTTTGCCTGCTTGCATGAACTGCATTATTTTTTCTGAACAAAATACATTTTCAAACAAAATAATTTGAGAACAATAAATGGACCCGTATTTATGTGGGCGTCCAGTCTTTTCTACCTTTTCTGACTGGTACTTTACATGTTGGGGGATCACCCATACGGATACTGTTAATTACCCATGGCTATATATTTTTGAGGCGTACTGAAGCATGCACACATACCTGCCCATAGTCGATTTCCAAGGGGTAGAATTTATTGGGATACTTTGTGAAGTTAGTGGAATGCCAGGCATTGCCTGTTTTTTCTTGGTACAGATTAAGGAAATGGTCTATGGCTTCCTCTTTCGATGACATTTCTTCCAGTTTGTTGCTACCAATAACTGTTCCCACACGTCCCCAGGAGCGGAACACCCAATATCTGTGAGTTTAAACAATAGAAGTCAGAATTTTCCCTCAATAAATTAAAGGATTTCTAAGATACCTCAGTTAACAGAGGGAAGGCAATAACAACCTTTGAACTAGGTTTTGTTTGAATAAAATAGGAGGTCAAAAATGTTGCAAGGCCCAATTTTAATGGTGAAATAATAGTCGCAGAAATCTAGTCTGGTGTTCTGCAAATGGTTTAATTCCATTGAAAAATTGTATCTAAAGATAAATATTAGCGTCAAACATCCGTACCTCGCATCTCTATCATGTTCTATAAGCTGAAGTTTGTAGTAAGAATTCGTCCCTCTAGTTATATCAACCAGACCCAAGGTAGCACTGAAGATTTTGCCATTTTTTTCCAAGACATGACACGAGTTTTCAAGTCCTGCAATGGGCAACATTTATTGATTAGTGACAAAATCCACCTTTCAGCGAGAACAATCTCTGATTATTAGAACACTTGCTTGTTACAAAAGACACAGATTATGTATGTTACACCCCCAAGTGTGTAAAAACCAATAATAAACAACTGCTAATGGTATAAATGTAAATTTGTACTAAGCATTTCTTTATATCCTCAAACTTTTGGATAGGGAGTTGTGTGCCAACAACTGGCTGCGAACACAAACTCCTTGTTATTTTGTATAAATGATCACTACCTTCATTAAAAGGTACCAGTCATACATCAACAAGTAGAGGCAAGAATATCTTAATATTAGTATTGAAATGTGATCTATATATTGTGATAAAATGATCACTAAATATATATTATTATTATTAGCATTAATATAGAGTCTGCATATTCCACAGCAATTTACGAATATAGAATGGGGATATTTGACAAGTAATGACATAGAATATTTACAAGACGAGAGGTAGAAAAGGCCCTGCTCAAACAAGCTTGCAATCGAGGAGGAAGGGGTAAAGACACACAACAATAATACAGCATGTCAGAGGCGAGGAGGGATTCATGTGTAAGTTTTTCTTCTTCCACATTCAGCGACTTCTCAAAGAACTGGAGGCTAGAGGAGAGTCTGACGGCCAGGGGTAGGGAATTCAATGGGAATGGGACAGTCCTTAAAAATCCTACAAAGGAGTGTAAGCAGTACAGGAACAGGTAGAACAGAGGTGCCCAAAAGGTAGATCCACAGAGGTTTTAAAACTACAACTTCCACGATGATCGTCATTCTAAAGACATACAAAGCATCATGGGGGTTCTACAACATCTGGGGATCTACCTTTTGGGCACCCCTACTGCAAATACTTGCAAAAACAGAATATTCAAGGATATAATCTTTCAATGTAGGGTAATAACTGCTTGATCCACGCATAAATCTGACTGCCATTCTGGGTTCAAGAGGGAATTTTTTTCCTAGCTTGTTGCAAAATTGTGCTTCAAACTGGGTTTTTTGCCTTCTTTTGGATCAACAGCAAAAAACAAATGTGAGGAAGGCTGAACTTGATGGACGCAAGTCTCTTTTCAGCTATGCAACTATGTAAATAGGAGAAGGTAACTCGCATATAAATGGACAAACCTTTTGATTTATTCTGCGATGTTCACGCATACTTCCACAACCTACTGACTGTCAAAGAAATATATTATATTTCATGCCATGAGCAATAAGAGGGTAGTTAATGGTTGAAGTGGTAGATGTTTAGGGAGTTTAAGCATGCATGGGATAGGCATAAGGCTATCCTAGCTATAAGATAAGGCCAGGGACTAATGAAAGTATTTAGAAAATTGGGCAGACTAGATGGGCCGAATGGTTTTTATCTGCAGTCACATTCTATGTTTCTAATAATCTTAATATTACATAACAATTAAACTTTTCAAAACCATTTTTTGTCAATTAGGAAAATAGGCTCATGCTAGAGTGACTTTAAAGTGGTTAGGAGTGTATTTAGTGTAGAGCTATAAAGACCAAATGTAAGCGTGATGATGTAATTTTAAATAATAAGAACCCTTGGAAACATTAAGGACACCAGAGGGTATGAACAGACAGGTGCTGACAGTTAGCAATGACGAACGCTCATTACACAAAGTGTTAGTACCAACATAAGATAACACTTTGGCTAATGAGACAGAGGTGAGAAAAATCACATCATTAGCAGTGGAACAGCTCATCAAACTGGAAAAAAAAAAAAAAGTTTTGGCACAAGGTGGGAGGCTTTTTTAATGTTGGTACTTGAAATGTACACATCTACCATTGATACAAACTAATTGATACATTCTACATGTATACATTCCATGTAAATTAAAGAACACTATAACCACTTCAGATCATCTTATTTATACAATCTTTTCGACTGCATTCATTTAGATACACAAACTGTGTTTAATCCAGGCATATTCTGATTCTTACCAGATTCTGGGTCAATAGCGGCTCCCCCTTTCACCGTTAATTTCATCTTTTTCTCCAACTTGCTGCCTCCTTCAATAAAAGAAAAAAAACAGGCAGATAAGTGAATATCTTATTAAATGACCAGATATTCCACAGCGCTGTGCGACATAGGCACCCTCACTTTAATGAACAGACTTGGGCACTCTCACTTTAATGACACTAACAGTTAAAACACATGGCAGATTTGATAACATTGATAGATTAATAGAATGCTTGCATTCAAAAATCTATTTTAAAGGAAATATAAAAATAATAGAAATTGGGAAACAATATCCCCCAGCTATCTCTTTATCATGTCCATTACATTGACATGATAAAGAGATAGCTGGGGGTCATTGTTTCCCAATTTCTATAATTTTTATATTTCCTTTAAAATAGATTTTTGAATGCAAGCATTCTATTAATCAATGTTATCAAATCTGCCATATATGTGTTTTAACTGTTAGTGCATAGACCCTGTTCTGTTACTTAGACAATGTAAAACGTTTTCATTTCTAATAAATTGCAAAGTTTACATTGGTCTGCGACTACATCAGCAGTAGCGGTCACACTAAAAGCCACTAGAGGCACTTCCTCCTTAAGACCTATGGAGTTGGACTCCACCAAGACCTCTTTAAAATTCTCTAATGGAAGCATCAGATTGGCGGAGAATGGCGATTACTGTGAATGCACCCTGTCAGGGCTCAAAATTTCCAATTGAAATTGAATTCAAACAAAGTTTTAGCCAAGTGAGTATGCTATGGTTTACAGTTGGGAGTAACTCTTAAAGTGGTTCTGTCAACTTCTACAGTCTCCGCATATTTTGAAAAAAAAACAAAAACCCAATGGTGACAGTCTCTTGGTGTGGTGGTCTGGGGATGCAGGGGAAATTAGGTCCTATAGCTGTCCCTCATAGCTGCAACCATGTCCATTCTGGGAACCCTCTTCAGCACATGGTGTTTCATCTTTCAGAAGCCCACATCAGCGCTCTCACGTGTACAACACTGATGACTATGGAAGATCCTGCAAGACCGCAGAAGCCACCATATACCATATTTTCTTTACTCACAGCTGTCACTAGTGATGGCTGAGGGTATTAGCAAAACTTAATGCTGGTAACTCTGCCTTTAAGGTATTAAGCATAAGAAAATTGCATAAGACAATGTAGTCTTTACTTTGTCTTAGTAAATCTGACTGCATTGGACTTTCAGTGAAATTCTAACACAGTCTGTCAGTATTTTATAAAAATGATTCTTTCATAAAAAATTATGATTTTTAATTGGGGGGTTAAGGTAGGCTTAGTGTTTTTGTTTTTTTTTTAAAAGTTTCAAAATAAGTATATTTATTTTCACATGTAGATTATCTCTTTATGGGAAAGGGCTCTTTAACCAAGATCTACTTAGTCGTTGATCTATCAGTAAAAGCTCTGCAGAAGTAACGCTTATACCGAACTGTAATTTTTTCCAAAACAGAAAGCACATATATCTTTAGAAGTATAGGAGGCAAGTATAACAGGGTGATAATCTAACACAAAAACTATTTTGCATGAATAAGTATAATATGCAATGCGACCAATAATAACCCATTTTCCATTATGTCCCTTTAACCAACTGGTACATTAAGACAGACATTGGCAATGTGTACCCTGTTCCTCCTTCACTTTCCCGGTGCTTTTTCCAGCAGCGACTCCACTGGATTTCTGCTTAGGTGGAGGTTCCTGCGTGACTTCTTGTTTAATCTCTGCTCCCCATGCCGATATCCCATGCTGGGCCATCAAGTCCTGGATGCTCTTTCCAGACCCCAACTCGTTCAGAAACTCCTCGCTCACCACCCTGATGTTGGCTGCCTTCACTTCCTCCATCTTCTTACTCATTTTCTCCAGTTCCTCTGTTTGAAAAAAAAAAAAAAATGAGACAGGTCACAAACCAACCACTAAAACGAGAGTTATTACACTGCAGAAAAAAAAAAAAACTGCAAAGAGGGTCAGGTTTAAAATGATACAGTGAAAGTCCCCAATAGGAAATGCGTTTGCCTGCTCCCGGGAGTGCATAAGGGCTGCATGATTATCCAGCACTGCAGGGGCACTTCACAAACCGTTCTGGCAGAGTGCGTAGACATCGGCCAGTCAACGACCACAACATACTTTAAATGGATGCAACAGCTTTACAGGGGAGAGAGATCCAAGTATGTTTCTCTCTCTCTTCCTAGAGAACTGTTAGACTTGGATAGTAGTGTAGAAGATGGAGATATATATATGCATACAATTACATAATTATAAACACATATTATACATATATTATTTATTATATACACAAAACCCAGAACTGTGGATGGCGCACAAAGAAGAATAATAATAATTAAAAAAAAAAATCTTAAATTATTTGGCACATGTTGTGTAACCACTGCCCTAACAATTGAACTGGATATTAGGGATGCATGAGGACCATTTTGGGATTCCCTGGTCTAAAGGCCACCCAAAAACTAGGAGGTCCCAGCAGTATATTAGAAGACAATATGTAACGCCATGATCCAGGTGCGTCTAAACAAAAATATTCAACAAATACTAAAGACAAAATCCATTGCACCCCTACAATATTTAATGTTCAAACAACACAGAATGTCCCATTAGCACTCACTTGTAGTGCTAACACAAAGGTCTGCCTTGTTTGCAGATCCCGTAACTTTCCCACCCATCTCTTCAATAAGTGACTTGTTTTCATCTTTGTTCTTTGACAGTTTTCCAAGAGTCAGAATCTTCATGTTGGTCAGTGGTTTTCCTAAATAAAATAAAATGCAAATAATAAAAAAACATGCACAATTATTTGTTAAAAACTACCCCCAAATTTTGAGGAAAATACATGAACTTACTAGAACATGCATTTTGCTTTTTACTTACAATCATTATAATAATGTATTTGCATTTTTATTTTCAGTCTATTATACTTTGGATATAATATTTCCCAAACACAGAGGTTATTAAACCTGCTATGGTAGTATCTCTAGGGAAATAACTCTGCCACCACGGAAGGCAGAAATTATCGAGGACCGTAAAGTTTGTGGTTACTTGCACATTTCCCATGGCATTCTGGTTTTACTCTGTGTGTGTTTATATAAAGTTAGAGCACTCAGCACTCACAGTATCCGAGTTGTGCGTCACATTTAGGTTACTACTCCTAATTTCTCATCTAGTGATATCCTCTGCATACAGCATAACACAAACATTTTATAAATAAAGTAACTATACAGAAAAGTTACTAAAATATAGAGTGGTGTGTTTCTTTTAAAAACTTGGTTTTAATTATAATATGATTGTAAATCAAGACAGAGATACAAAAAACAGGATTCTTTAAAAGGGGGAGGAAGTATGGTAAAAACAGGTTATAAAATGTTTTCCAAAATAGCAACTTCATTCAATGAAATCATTCCTTTGGTTTAATTCAGACAATACATAGGAGTAATAGATTCTGTAATGAAGCAAAGCAAAGAAATAAGTGGTGGTGTCACTTATTTAAAAGTATGTGTATTGAATTTCAAAGCAGAGAAGGCACTTACCTGCTGGGGCAGTCTCTATAGGTGCAGGCTCAGATTTAGCTGAGACTGGAGCACTCACAGGGATAGGAGCCACTGGGGGAGGGAAGGCCCTATCTTGCCTCTTAGACTTAAATTTCTTCAGATACGGAACTTCATGGAATTCCTAAACATTTAAAGAGAAATTGGTCAGTTCTGTCTGCTTATAACAGCAAGCTAATAACTAGTTGCGATGACTATATCAAAATCTGCTATAGAGACTGTGCCTACCTTTGGTATCACCCAGTCTTTCCTGTTAGGGGTCTGTGTTTTAGCAACACATTTAGTCCAGGCACTGATGTCCCCTGTGCAATAGTAGGCATCTGTTTTGAAGACGAGTTGTCCATTGCACTCCTCACACGGCAGCAGCGCTCCAAAAGCCATTCCATCTGCAACCCGGTCCAGGATCTACGGAACGGTAAGAGGAAATAAACATGTTGTTGCTGTATGGTGCAGGTAACTGGTGGCTTCACCTGAGCGAGAAGACACGCGCATGTATGCACACAGACAGTATTTTCAGATCAGCAAATTTCAGGAAATCACTGGACATTTCAAAGTTGCAATGGATTCTAAGCCAAGTTACAAAGCACTGCTTTTCAAGAAAAAGTGAAAATTATAATCTAATATTAAAAAAAATTAACCCTCTAAGGACCAATGAATTACATGCTTTCCTTTCATCGCACCAAAATAAAATCTCTTTTTTGCAGATATTTTCTCTGTAGCAGTAGGATGTTTAGATTTGTATATTCACTTATTGAATCTCCAGTAATACATGGAAAGGGAACAATAACCACTTACATTCGTCTCTCCTGATGGGACCTGCTGCTTGTTGGCTATAAGAAGTTCCTTTAGGTCGTTAGTACTACAGACCTTCTTCAATTCATCTTTAATTCCCCAGACAAGCTCCGTTTGCTCCTTTAGTACAAAGAATATAGAACGGTTAGACCCACAAAAAAAGAATGATTCAAGGAACATTTCAAACCACAATTAGAGATGTAGCGAACCGTCCGCAAACTTCTCGCGAACGGTTCGTGGCGAACTCCGGTCAGCTGACACATCCCTGCCAATCTCCGGCAGACCCTCCCACCTCCTGGACAGCATCCATGTTGAAGTTGCCTTCAACATGGATGCTGTCCAGGAAGTAGGAGGGTCTGCTGGAGATTGGCCGGGATGTGTCAGCTGACCGGAGTTCGCCGCGAACCGTTCGCGAGAAGTTTGCGGACATCTCTAACCACAATGTGTGCTTTACAAAATAATATTTTAAAATATACTTTTAAATAACAGGATGACGACATTTGATTTTTCATTTTGTTTTACAAACTGTACTATAAAGTGTTGTTAAACTCTCACTAAACTACTTTTTTTCCTGTTGGTGGCTGATTGTCAAATAATGTTCTCGAACAGTTTTAGTTTATAACCCTTCTGTCTAAAAACACAGAGCAAGAATGTTACTTAGGATCCAGGTCTTTATTTAAAGTGAAAGTGTAACCTAGAACCGTGCTTGTGAAATGGAAAGTGATGTAATATGAACGGAACATATTTACCTTTAGCAACTTCTCAAGCTTGGCCTCTTCTTTCTTTATCTTCTTTTTGGATACTCCAGAGCCATCAATCTCATCACCTTTTCTTTTCCTAAGATAACAAAAAGTTAAATAGAAGTTTAAAGTTTTAAAGGAATTCACTGTGGGCTTATTTTTTTATAATTAATACTTTCCGACCTAAAATCAGAACCAGTGACATGCAAGGCGATTACAATTCTAAATGTAAAAATTAAATGTAATTATATATTCGTTAATATTGCTGTATCGTCAAAGGAAAAAACAAAACTAAACAAATACTAATTAGAAGACATAAACAATATTTTACACACAGTCACGTTCTCCAGGATGCAAATCTATTTCCAGATGCCTCTAAAATTTGTTACACAAAACAAACAAAAAGCATCTGGACACAGCACTCCTGGGTCTCATTATTAAAGCCAAAACTGGGCAGCATTACACCTGATCTGTTATGAATTAACTAAATCCCAGCTGCACTGAGTATCCTAATTAGGAAACAAACCTGATGGACTACAACAAACATACAAAAGGATTTAACTGGAATTTCTCAGGTGGAAACCAAGTAGGCATCATCCCTCTAAGTAGCTAATTATCGAAGTAATAAATCAAATTTACTCTTAACACCTACTCACAGCTGTGCACAAACACCAAAGCAAGGGGGGCTATCATAGTATAAAAAGGTTAGGAGGTTAGAGACCAATGGTTAGAAGCTTGCAATCCAATATACCAGTTGCTCATTTAAATATTCCCTGCATCGTGGGTTTGCGTGAAGAATGAATGAACAGAACTGTATTAAGCCGGGAAAGGGAGAGTAAGTATGGCACTAACTGAATGCTATCAGTGTACCAGGCAAGAGCAAACTTTAGAAAAGAGAGGGGAAACAAAACAATGGAAATATCAAAATATATTGTTGGCAAGTACAGCTGAGAAGGTAGAGAGAGGTACTAAAAATATTGGGTATAAAGTAAAATCCATGCGATTTCCGTTTGGCATAGCAGAGATCGGTCTGGTAGGTTTGTAAAGAAGCAGTGGTAGCGATGTAACATTCCTTACAAAGTTCACCATTACACGTTTTGTGGACATCGGTGTTAGTCGAGGGTATCTAAGGAACAACCCAGTGTGTATGTCAAGAAGCGGTTCAGTTATGTTAATGGCCTGTAAGGTGTTCTGCGTATGCTTGAAGGTCTGAGAGAAGAATATCTTCCGCTATTCCACGAAGGCGAATGTTGCTGCGCCTGTCTCTGTCCTCGTGGTCTGTCACTTTGTCAGCAAGGCAGTCCAGTTTTGCGTTCATCTCAGCATATGCATCAGCGAGAGTATTATGTGCCGATATAATTTCTTCTGTTTTATCTTCGAGATGGGCAGTTCTGTCCCCCAGTGTTTGTATATATCTCTTCGTATGTCTCGCGATGTCTGTCTGTAATGAGGTTTGCAGTGTTTGCAGCATTTTGTGGACCTATAGGTCTGTTGCAGGGGCTGATACTTTATTTTATAATGAGGGAAAACTTACAAACACACACATACGAGCTCCAATTTCCACAGAACTACGACTAAAACAGTATACTATGCTGTACACAAGGCAATAACGGCATACAAGTTTTACAAGATAAATACGTTTTCTTCTTACTGTATTCATTAGGTTTTAAAGGTTCTACACAAACAAACATCGACAATACAGTACAATGAATGTAGTACACCAAGTATAGGAAGGGACTGGTCAAAATGTTAGTCCTGACAAGGAGAGGACGTCCTATAGTCCAGAAGAGAGAGCGCGCAAATAGGAAGAGACAGAAATTTAATAATTATTTTAATGGGAATAGGGGACGGGGATACTGGTGAGAAATAAATTCTTTGGATAAGTAAAATTGTAATATGTGATTGCAGGAGTGTGTTAGGCAATGACGTATACAAATATCTTCTAAATGGGGAAGTACAAAATTAAAGGCACCTACCAAACACCATAACAACCTACCCATCTTTCAGTATATTAAAGCTGCGGCAATTTTTAAGACTCACTGTGGATATGATCATCTATCTATTTACACATCACACGGAGGGCATAAAAAAAAAAATACTTGTATGGTGGGCAAACACAGCCAGACAGTGCTCCATGATATGTGCATCGCCGCAGCTTGTGACAAAACATTTGTGGAGACAAGTGACAAGAGGGCCGAAGTTATTGAAAGTTTATTGTACTCGCTTGTATTGCTTGGCTGGAGTTTATCAGTTCTGTGGTTTTCAATGTGATTGGAAAACAAAGAGATGCCTAGGGAGTACCACCAGCAGCCGGATTGATATATTTGTATTGCATTTTTTAAGACTATATTCAGTGCAAACACTTCGTCACCCTGGGGTGTTGCAGAGAAGAGGATAGAAGCGCTGTTTTTTTGGCCAGTTTGCTCATTGTCACCCACAGAGGGTGAGGTGTTGCATGAAGATGGTAAATCCGGACTGTGTGGGTGTTTGCGAGGGCAAGGCTGATGGGATTACGCCTTAGCTCCCTTCCCTTGCCCAGAGTAAGAGGGGCAGAATCTTACAGGAAGCAGAATGCCTGTCTCAATGCGGAGGAGCCACACAAAGAGCCCATATAAGGAGTCCTTCACACTGATAATGCAGACAGATTCTGTGGTCTCGCAGAGATTTTGTAACAGACTGTCAGTAAATCCAAGGGCAGTTTAATATTACGTGTTACTTCAGCAGCCTTAGCGGGGGAACCTGTGACATCTCTGGAAGTCACAGAGTCTCGATCCCTCAGACCTTTAAAAACTATATTAAAGAGTTTACTGGAATACGGCAGAAGCAGATTTAACTACTTTTTAAAGCGTAACTCATAGCCCAGAACCTTTGTATTTCCTGAACTGGATGCAGCACCATGCCATCCCCTCAATAGGTTGTGCTGTACTCTTTTTTACTTAGAGACAGAGCTCAGTAGTCACCGCTTATTAAAAAAAAAAAAAAAAAAAATCTGAAAAATAAATATTTGGACACCTAATGCAGAAGGCATAATTCCAAGCCTCATTTTTCCTTGTGTAATTGATTATTGACATGAATGTATTGTCTTATAGAGAGTATTGACCTGAAATTGTACCAACAACAAACCTTACATTAAATGTTAAGAAGTCCCTTCCTCTGTACAGGAAACTGTATTTTCTTAAAGAAACCCGTAGCCAGCAGAATGCATTGATGTGTCAAGATGATTTCTACAAAGTGTTACAAGATTTTCCCTAGGACAACTAACTATTAACCTCTTTAATACCTAGATTGAGTATAAAGATAGGTTTTTATTTTCATGTATTTTGCAGTTTGAAATCTAGTTCATAAAGCCTCACCCAACATCATTTATACTCTCGATCGGATGATTTCCAACCCGAAGTGGAACACATTTATCAGCCACTATTCACAGATATAATGCCTGTAAGTTTGCTGAAAATGTCATCTCACCCACTGCTTTCAAAACAGTACAGGAAGTTTCAATAGGCCATATCATACAGTCACACTAGGGGGTGGGGAATTGATAAAGATTACAATAGCAGTTTTAAATACCTTTATTTTAGAAATATATGATTTAACCCTATTTACTATATGTCGAGATTATGCTCAAACGCAGAGATTCTGTTTAGAGGTTACCATTTTTAGCAAGCTGTACCGCTAGTATGCTTTCAGGGTTCTTACAAATAACTATAAGCGAACTATTTGACCATTGTTATTAAAGGGACACTATAGTCACCCAGACCACTTCAGCTCAATGAAGTGGTCTGGGTCCAATGTCCTTCACATGTAAACATAGTTTCAGAGAAAGTGCTACGTTTACATAGCAGGGTTAATCCAACCTCTAGTGGCTGTGTTCCTGACAGCTGCTAGAGGCACTTCTGCGACACTGGATGCGAAATTTGCATCCAGCGTGCAGAACGTCCATAGGAAAGCATTGAGAAATGCCTTCCTATGGACTTTTAGAATGTGCGAGTGGCTCTTGCTGAGCATGCGCATTCCACTCCACTCGGGAGCTGACGTCGGAGTGGCAGGAGAGGTCACCAGCGCCGAGGGAGCCCGGAGCTGGATAAAAGGTAAGTGGCTGAAGGGGTTTTAACCCCTTTAACCGAGCGGGAGAGGGACCCTGAGGGTGGGGGTCCCCCAAGGATTATATAGTGCCAGGAAAACGAGTTTGTTTTCCTGAAACTATAGTGATCCTTTAATATATTTTATCATCTACTGTATGTGAGAAAAATAGCATATCTGCATTTCACACTCTGTGAGAAATATTGCGGAAAAAAAAGGATGCTGTATACGGTCTTACATTTTTCATTTCCCAAATATTTTTATAAAAGGATGAAAGAATAAACTAAAAATTACAATTATGTAAATTAAGTTTTTCTGCAAAGCAATATAAACACAAAATTGCTGTGTTATAGATTTATTCGCTACTTATCACATCCCTTGCTTCAAATAAATGCTATGCTAATATTTTTTTTCAATCAAAAAGTGCTTGGCAGTTAAATGATAATATTTTGCATTAACGCAGCTCCTTTATGCAAACACAGACACCATTCTGTTTTAGCACCAATAAAGAAATTAACTTTACATTTTTCATTAAATGATGTAACTGATTGCGGTTTCTCTGAAAGTGTAACACAGGTATCTGAAGCACTCCAAGAAAACAAGTCACCTTCAAGCCAGATGAACATCAGTGAACAGTTAGTCGCCAACGCAAGTGGCGGCCAAGATCCACCTGCACTTTATTTTCCCATGGATGTACCGTACACAGCAGCAGAGATTGCAATTGCCGCTATAGCTGCAGTGGGAAACCTCTTGGTATGTGTTGCGGTCATCCAGGACCGCAAGCTCTGGACGGTAACTAATTATTTCTTAATATCTCTGTCAGTAGCAGACACATGCGTGGGAGCATTCGCCATCCCCTGTGCCATTCTAACAAGCATAGGGATTCCACAACATCAACTGAGACTCTGTTTGCTGATGCTGTCTGTCCTAATTATGCTTACAATGAGTTCAACCTTCAGCCTCCTGGCTATTGCTATGGATCGTTACATTGCCATTCTACAGCCTCTTCGATACAAAAGCATTATGACCCCACGTAACGCACTTGTCATTATAGTTGTAGGATGGGTCACTTCATTCCTTTCTGGGCTGCTGCCATTGATGGGTTGGTACAAAGCCACTTCCCCGACTGGCCACTGTCTCTTCACACAAATAATAGACATGACTTACGTGGTCTACTTCTTCTCGGTTGTCTTTTTCATTTTGCCCCTGATTGTCATGCTTGTTATCTATGCTAAAATCTTTTCAGCAGTCAGAAAGCAGCTTGCGGCCATAGCAAAGGGGGGGCAGCTGGGCAGTGTTGCAGGTAAGAATGCAGTGGGCATCAGGAAAGAAATGAAAACGGCCACCTCTCTTTTTACAATCATCTTCTTTTTCAGTCTATGTTGGGCCCCTTTGCACCTCATAAACTGGTTTCAACTCCTCTGCCCAAACGGCTTTGTTCCACTGATCATACTACAGATTGCCATCGTACTGACGCACGCCAATTCTGCCCTCAATCCAATCCTATATGCCTACAAATTGAAGACCTTCAGGAAAGCCTTCAAGGCCATTTTTGTATGCAGGCATAATGCTGTTACACCAACAAAACATTGGGACTGAGGCTCTGGTGGTTCCCATTAGGTGAACCTTATAAACGTAGCCCCCAACATCAGATAGTAATGTTAACTTGGCTTCCAGAACGTCACAATTAAAGTAAATGGACTGGAAATTAGCCAACGTCAGATTGATCCAGAACACACACTTTAACTTTAATCCATAAAGCATTCCATATTTATTTCTTACATATAATGTGTAATCATCACTGTAAAAAACATTGATGTAAATTATTAACAAAGCAGACTAAGCTCTGCCGGCAAAACAGAATTTCAACAAATTTTTTTAAATCCTTCTCCAGGCACACCCGTTTTCCTAATTCTATGAACATTCTTCAACGATTCCCCTTGTTCCTGAAAGTAGTGTTACCACGGCAATGAAAAACCAAATCAGAGATTTATTTTGACAGTTTGCCTTGGAGCGAAATCAAGGAATTATAATGGAAATGTAATTTATCCTAGACCATAGGCCATAATTTCTCCTTTGTCATGGCCAAATTTATGCTTTAATCGATCTTTTAAGGTTAGGTGAATAATTAATCAACTATAAAATATTTTTTTAAGATGCAGAAGGACCTGAAAGAAAAAATAAAGCTCCCTGGATCATAGCCCAATTTGTAGATTGGTGACTGGTAAATAAATCACTCAAACCGTAAAGCGCTCTAACAAACGGCTACTTAGAGAGGTCTACTGAGCCGTAGAACGTTTCAATGAATGCTCATATTTAGGTATATGGGTAGAAAAATATTGGTGCAGATTAAAATAGTTATTAAAGACAAGAGAAAAAGTGAAAGCAGAATTCGCACATTAAACATGGTGTATCTAGTTTTTTTTTTTGTTTTTTTTACATACATTGTGAGATCTAATGTAAAAGTCAATCTCAAGTCAGCTCTGGTGGAATGGTGTACAATGTTTAGAAGCAAACAGGAAATTAGTGAAATGTGGCATTACCAATGCTAACCGGAGATCTGGTTATTTACACACAGGCATCAAACAGAGACTGGACAGAGATGTCGCGAACCGTCCGCGAGCTGTTCGCGGCGAGCTCCGGTCAGCTGACACGTCCCGGCCAATCTCCAGCAGACCCTCCCTCCCAGACCCTCCTACTTCCTGGACAGCATCCATGTTTCAACATACATTGCTTCAACATGGATGCTGTCCAGAAAGTGGGAGGGAGGGTCTGCTGGAGATTGGCCAGGACGTGTCAGCTGACCGGAGTTCGCCGCGAACAGCTCGCGGCGAACCGTTCGTGAGAAGTTCGCGGACGTTTCGCGACATCTCTAAGACTGGACAAATTACATGTAACTTCTGTAAGTAATGCTTTAAAATGTTTTAGAATCTGCACAAGAGAAGACTGCGGTGCTTTATCTCACTATATATGTGAACAGATACACAGCAAAGCCGAAATGGCTCAGGATTTCCCGGTGTGTGTTTGGGTGTACACCTTCAGTGACATCTCCAACAGACAACAGTTATTCGACAAATCCTCCTCTAGATCCACGAGGCACGTTTTATAGAGATATTCATCACAGCTAAAAATAATGTATGGCTTCAGCCCTTTAATTGCTCTCATGAGTGCCAACAAGGACAAGCTGAAAAGTACTAAATATATTCGTAAACCAACGACAACAATTTTTAAGCAAAGCAATGCACCTACATGGCAGTATAAAAAAAAAATAAAATAAATCCAAAATGGATAATAAAATCGACTCTCACCCCAAAAAATTGCACAAAACAAATTACGACTAGCTTTGCGCAAACTTACCCCTCGTTCTTCAAAGCTGGGAGTTTGTCCTTCAGAATGTCTTTGTCTTCGTCTTTTAGCGTTTTGAAACCCTTCAGATGAGTGGCGTTGTAGATAGACAGAAAGCCTAGTTCGTCACGCCGGCTGACAAAGCAGTCACAATGGTACCAACGATCAATCATACCAAGTTGAGGCCGTTCTACATCCAAACTCTTCTTCGAAATTCTGACCTGGCCCTGCACAGCATAGAATGAAATATAGCAATGCACAATGATACAGACTGAAATTAAAGCATTAGGTTTGCTTAGCTGGTTAAATGTAATTTCCTTAAATCAGTTTTCAGTATAAAGGACTATGCTGCCAAATAACTATGTGTTGAGAATCTAGAGATATACAAAGTCAAGTTTTAACCCCTTAGTGACAGGTACAGTTCATTACATAAATCCATCTGGCCCCCCTGTCCCAAATCCCCCTCACATGGCCTTTCTTAATTATTCAAATTTTCAAAGTTACACATAGGGAAAAGTAGGATTATTTTCCCTTATGAATAACCTGAAGGTTGATAAAAGTCAACAAAGTCAAGCTCCTTAATCAATTTTGTTATTGGCTGGGTTTTTTTGGACTTGTCTCCATCCCACGGCAAGTTACTGATCCTCATTGGTGACCCGTGCGCGATTCCAAGAGTCCAGATTCCAAGAGTGGCCAGACCCCCAAAGCAAGCACATTATTTCACATCCATGCCGCGCCGCCATCACGGAATTTCTATGATGGCGCAAATAAACAAAATGTTGAACAAGTCGAGTGAGAAGTCCTGGGGACTTAGGCAAGAGATTCCTAGTTTGGCAATCTAGTGACAGAGCTGGTTTAATCTTGGTGGACAAACACTGTACAAAGCCTTATTAAAAGCTTCTACAGAAATGGTCCTTGCCGATATCATCAAGACCCAGCCACTGCTGGATGCCCCATGAGAGAGGCTTTCCAGCAATATAACCCTGGCTGCCCAACGCATTCCACCATTGTCTCACCATGAGAAAATCACCAGTCCCAGAAAGTCCAGGACTAGCGCTGGATGCTACAGCCACGAGCCAGCAATGTGATCAGAGGCTTTCCCATGCATCTGATGCCTGTGACAGGCAGTATTAGTGATGGGAAGCCTCAGACCCTGCAGTTAGACTATGTACTTCGCACACAATTACCTGGGTGCAGTGGTCCTTTAGCTTTAACCCTTCGATGTAAAGCATTTAGTGAATACGGCAAAGCTTACATTGAAGGGTTAAATACACCTAGAGTGGCTGTCTTCCCGACAGCCACTACAAGCACTTTCTGCTGTGAGAACCAAGTCAAATTTAGATCTCACAGCTGTCCTCCATTTCATTAGAGAAGTGCAGCACTGAGCATGCATGCGCTTTTATACCTAATCCTCCTTTATGAGGAGCATTGAACTGGACAGAGGAGAACCCTGGTTTTAGGAATACAGGTTTGCCTCGCCATGCATTACAGAGGCAGTACTTTGTGATTCCGTTACCTTTTCTATCTTCTCATTGCACCCTTTGCACGTGCTTCTGTTTGATTTTGCATACTCTGCTGCGAAATCTATTAACGTCATCTCTGTTTTTCCTCCTTTGGCATCGCCGCCGCTGGCTGTATAAAAACAATGTAACAAAAAGAAAAAGATCAATTAGTAAATATCTGATAAAATAAATCCTTTATTAAGCCTATCTTAAATCAAATTACTCAGCACAGCAGTACAAATAACGCAGCATAGAAATCTTATTCATCACACAAAAAAATAAAAAATAAAAGCAACACTTCCATTCAAGTCAACTTGCAGATATAAAATGACCTCGAACGTTACGGCAGTCAGCTACAGCCGTTCTCAAGGGTACCACCTGATACCTTCATGCAACTCAGTGTAAAATCTCACCCAGGATGAAACAATTTGGGTTGAACAGAGTAAAAGCCACAAAAATAATTGATCCTCAAAATAGGAATCCCTTTAAATGTTGGCTCTTGATTCCTGCAGTAAGCTCCCTTTGCAAATGTATACATTTCCCAAATTGTTAAAGGGACACTATAGGGCCAGGAATACAATGTGTACTCCTGACCCTATATAGTGTTTAAAAATAAAAAACACTGTATACCCCCTGCCCCCACTAAATAAGTATAAAACTTTTATTCCAGTGCTGCGTTGGTCTGCTGGCGCTGGCTCTGCACTTGATCTGCCTCCTTGGCTGAAATCATCAAAATTAACAATCTCATCCAAGGAGGCAGGTCAGGAGCGGAGTCAAATGCCACCTCAGCCAATCAGCATCTCCTCAATGTCCCTAGGGAGCAATGCAGACACTGCCTTTTCTCTGAAAATACAGTGTTTAAATAAAAAGCCTGCAGGGGCAGGATATATACACTAGAACTTCTTCATTAAGCTATAGTTCTGGTGACGATTAGTGTCCCTTTAGAGAAGAATTCAACCGGAAACCACCTTTGACCAGATGCAGTGTACTGAGGCTTCTTATGGGCAAGAGGATGAATTACACTAAGGCAGGTGATAACCAGGTACTAGGTAAGTCATAAAAGAATAGAAAATTACCCATATCAGGTAACGTCCACAGGAATAGTAGGACAACAAAAAAAGAATGCGGTTAAGGGGAGGAAGTTCCCCAAATTTACTTCCTCTCCAAAATGAATAACTGATAGCAGTGTTGCTATTGTCCTGACCTGGGATGTAGGTTTTGTGTTCTCAAGGCTGTTTAATGATGTATTTGTATTGATGGAGATACGTGTAATCAGTGAACATTTTAGGTGAAAAGGTTTAAAAGGAGAATTTCAGGAAACCAAATCAAATAGATAAGGTAGAAATAACATTTCAGAAAAATAAGAATGGGACTTTGCCAATTAAATTGTGTATATCAGGTTATGTCTTCATCACCAAAGTAATTACTATGGGAGATCTTTTTTTAGAAACACGACAAGAGGTTTTAAATCTTTGGGAAACTCACTAACAAAGTTAAACAGAAACAAGTGCTTTTCTTTGCTGAGCTCAGGGAATAGTCCATACACCTTGTCACAAATCTGTCACAGCTCATTCAACAATCAGCTCTGCAATAGTAGGCAGGACTGGAGAAAAAAAAACAAAAAAAAAACAACACATACAACCTACAACTTTCATGATGATTAAGGTTGCTGTAAATAGGATAGAAACAGCCAACAGTAAATGTAGCCCGCACACACCCTGCAAGGTCACCAGAAATTACCTGCTGTTGCTCCCCCTGTTTCTATGGCCTTCTTAATCTGTTCTTGGTCTTCCCATCGTAGCTCAGTAAAACCATCAATATCTCCGTGGGATACTACCCGTGCTCTCTTCCAGAAACAGGCATAATGATGCCAGTGTGGTACCTTCCCATCAAACATTGGAGACTGCAGATAGAAGGAAGGATGAGAAGGCGAGGATTAATTCTATGAAAAACAATATATTCTATTAATCCATTATCTTGCCCTTACAGACTTTGGTGCAATGTCAATGTTCATTATCTACACATCCTATCACGAAACAAAATATTTAATTAAAAAAGGTTGAGGTTAATATAAATTAGGGAATGCTAGCCCCGGTACCAAAGGTGTTTCTGATCTACACTTCCCATAAGGCTCAGCCTTTTAGGAAAGCTTGGCCACCACTGAACTTGATAAACACAAATTGCGTGCATCTCGAGTGACACGTAGCAATGAACATAACCACTTTCACACATTAACACAAGACAGTTTAGAATTAATAGCACCCACGAAAATGCATCAAACCCCCCCCTTTTAAGAACTACGTAATGTCTACTTTCTGCTCAGCAATAATCCAGTAATCCAGATTTATTGCAGAGATTATTGCTGCCCATGCAGAAAACCAGCATTCAAAAAAGCATCTACACAACATAAATGTAAGGCCCATGAGAAACCAACCATGAAAAGTGTTTTGGTTTTTTTTTGGTTGTCCCACTAAGTCTCCATGTTGGAAGAGATTTGCTTAGCTGTCTTTTAACATGTATTAAAGGAACACTATGGAGTCACAAACATGTAATCCTGACCATATAGAGTTAAAGGACCACTATAGGCACCCAGACCACTTAATAAAGTGGTCTGGGTGCCAGGTCCAGCTAGGGAAAAAACTGCTATGTTTATAATAGGGTTAATCCAGCCTCTAGTGGCTGTCTCGTTGTGATTTTCACAGTGAGAAGATGCCAGCGTCCATAGGAAAGCATTGTGAATGCTTTCCTATGGAATGACTGAATGCACGTGCAGCTCTTGCCGCGCATGCGCATTCAGCCGAAGAGAAAGAAAGAGGCGAGTTTAACCCCTTCCTCTCCATCCAGCCTGGCGGGAGGGGTACCCTGAGGGTGGGGGCACCCTCAGGGCACTATAGTGCCAGGAAAACGAGTATATTTTCCTGGCACTATAGTTGTCCTTTAAAACCACCATCTAGCCTCCCCCAATTCCCCTCCCCTTACCCCCCAAAATATAGTACAATTTTACCTTTATTCCAGTCTGCTGGTGCAGGCTCTGCCCCTGATCTGCCCGCTTGGCTGAGATAATCAGAAGTGGTGATCTCAGCCAGTCACAATGCATAGGAAAGCACTGGATTGGCTGAAACGGTCAAGGAGGTAGATCATGGGCAGAGCCAGTACAAACCAAACACAGCCCTGTCCAAACAGCATTTCCTCATAGAGATGATTTGAATCAATGCACCTCTATGAGGAAAGTTCAGTGGCTATGCAGAGGGTGGAGACACTGAATGTTAGTCACACTGTGCAGCACTGCCCCAGGAAGCACTTCTAGTAGCCATCTGAGAAGTGACCAGTGGAGGCATCACTAGTCTGTAATGTAAACACTGCATTTTCTCTAAAAAGACAGTGTTTACTGCAAAATGCCTGAAGGGAATGATTCTACTCACCAGAACAAATACAATAAGCTGTAGTTGTTCTGTTGACTATAGTGTCCCTTTAATCTTTCCTTCCTGGGAGGATCAATAACACTATTTGCCTTGACAGAATAACAGGGATCTGTTAGTGTTCACAGATTATCTGTTCTATTACAGCGGTATGAGTCAGGAATTGGTGGAATTTAACTTGGTGCCAATGCGGGATTTGTCTATGGTACAGAGTGTGAGTCAGTATCTGGAAAACAACATCCATTCCAGCAGAAATACTAATTATTAAATTATTACTTAACAGATTGCACCCTCCGTGAGACCCTCCTTGCTACATATAATAAAGGAGATTATAAATAGACTCCACATACTGTGATGGCTCTTTGTGGCAGTTATTTTTCCCCATCACGCTGAGCCAACCTTAAAGCTTGCTGGGCACTATGGGAAACAACATTTAGAATTATCTGGGTGTCAAAGACGTGCATCACTGTCCTAATGAATAACTCCAAAATAGAAGCTCTCATGCAGTACCAGCACTTAGCAGAGTCAGGCTTCAGATTGGCTGCGCAGGATTCTTCCAGGAGTCAACCGAGGTCAGCAGACGTGCTGGGACTTGTAGACTATTACAGGGAGAGTACTACAAATCCAACGGCACCGCTGCTTTTATAACTGTATTGTGTTATACTGACTGATTATTGGTTTATTGAATAGAATATCCTCTCCTGTATGAAACCATTAACCCCTTCACTGCTACCGTCACAGTTGTAACTTTCACACACACCTTCTAGATTTTACAGATCTCATCCTCACGGTATTTCTGCCATATACCTGTCCCATTTAATCTACCCAGGGTACATACTTACACACATAGTTTATACTCCCAGCTGTAATATCTGTAAACTACAGGGGGATTAATACTCCCATGGTGACACGAACCGGGGGCCTACAGGTAAATACAGAGCATCGCAAACATCGTTTTGCTATTTCAATGTTTAAACACAGTGTTGTTTCTGCTCGACCAGCAGAGCCCAGACAGCATAACGCAGCCACCCATTTCTGTAATTGCCAATCTCTTTGTTATCTTGCCTAGCACAACCTACCCACCCATTACTTTGCCCCACAGTGTCAGGATGCCACTGCAGAAGTGAAATGTGATCTGGCCTCCTCACCAATCAGGACAGATCAAAAGATCAGTTGGGGTCTACCACTTGGCCACAAACTTTTTACATGTTAGAATTTTTGGAGGAGACACCATTATGGCCACATACCATGTCAGATAACTGGGAAACATACGATATGAGAAATCATTGCAGTTTTTTTTTTTTTATACCAGAGTGCGAGCATTCTCCATCCCGGTATTGGAGGGAGACTGTGAAACATCCTCACAGATAGAGATCAGTCTTATTCTTATCGGTCACCCTCTACATATGGGTGAGGGGATGGGTAGATCGACTACACATGCCTTGGATACAGGGGTCAATCCCACGGTCCATGGGATGGGATGGAAGTGCATACTAGCCCCCTCACCTGCATTACATTGAGGGAGGGGAAAGGGGTCACTGACCAGAGCCCCCAGACCACCAATTATCCTGGAGATCACACTATGTCCGGGCATGAGAGATCTATTATAATGCTTGCCCATTCAGAGCCAGATATCGTGTGACGAAGCTAAAATTCATGTTATCCCTAGCAAAAATCTGTACGACGGGTTCATCCTATGACGATACAAATATTTATAGGGCGTCATAATGAATGTATTTTAATGCATCATCTATATATTCAATTAAAAAGCATGATCATTTACAGGCTGGTGTGTTCCTTTAAAAATTAATATTTGCTATACAGACTAATATATGCCGTTTTTAAAAGGATTGACCCTCTCTCGAGTTTGTCAATTAAGCAGCCTCTGACCTTTATAGTTTTTTTCCCCCCCATTAAGTACCGTATATTTATTCCTGTATTGGCATGGGGAAGTCAGCCTTGGATTTTTCTTTTTATTGATAAGCCATTTTAAAGGATGAGTTTGTGTTTGGGGGAGAGATATTTTGTTTGACTTTAAATCTGAACGAAGCAACAGTCAAATTTGTTTTATTAAACAAACTACCATGACAAACATGCACAGAGCATCGTGGGAGTTGTAGTTCAATAAAAGCTGTGTAGGGCATTCCTGCTATACAGGCAGCAAGGATGTAAAAAAAAACAAAAATCATGTGACTAAAATTATGCAGGACGTGGGGGTGGAAGAACTCTTGTGTGATAAAAGCACAATGCCAACTAATTGAATCCTTTACAGGGAGTGATGGAATGCAGGAGACAAATGAAAGAGGCAGAAAAGGGCCGGTCAACCAAATCTTAAAATCACACAGTTCTAGATTCATGGCCGAAACACCTGAAAATGTTCTGGGTTTTTAAATTAATTTATTTTGCTTTATATCAACAAAAGACATAAAACAGATATGATCTATGGCTGCACTATAAAGTAATATAATGCCAATATCAAATCATATCAGAAAATAAATGTGATCATCTTTAAATAACAAAGAAAAACACCCAGTAAATAAAACCCAAGTAATCTCCATTCTGGATTTTGGATGCAAAATAATAAGTTGCTGAATATTAAACCATTACCATTCGAACTGCAAAAAAACAGTCCACAGAGACTTACAGAAAATATAGTAAGGCAGAAGTTACAGCGTAATGGGCAAATAAATCTGCACCAGCTAGAATGCCAGCCATTAACCTCCCTGCTGTATGGAGAGATAAAAGATAACTAGTGAAAAATGTGCAGGAGTAGTGCAATGCCTTGAGACCAGTTATTGTTGGTGGATGGGCATCACTCTGATTGGCATGGGTATCACACCGCTTGGGCATCACTGGCACAGGGGCTAGGCATGGGATCACTCTGGCACTAGCTGTGGCTCCTAGCCCTTCCTTGCACTAGCTGTGGCCCCTAGCCCTTCCTTGCACTAGCTGTGGCCCTTGACCCTGTGCCCCCCCCTTGCAGTAGCTGTGGCCCCCCACCTCTTGCAATAGCTGTGGCCCCCCACCCCTTGCAATAGCTGTGGCCCCCCCACCCCTTGCAATAGCTGTGGCCCCTAGCCCCCCTCGCAGTAGCTGTGGCCCCTAGCCCCCCTCGCAGTAGCTGTTCCAGGCCTGTGGCCCCTACCTTACCTTGCTGCTGGCCCTGTGCCCCTTGCACTAGCTGTGGGCCCTGTGCCCCCCCCCCTTGCACTAGCTGTAGCTGCTGCGGTGTCTGTGGCCCCTGGTTGCAGTGTCTGTGCCCCCTGGTTGCAGTGTCTGTGGCCCTGGTTGCGTGTGTGCCCCTTGCTGCGGTGTCTGTGCCCCGTTGCAGTGTCTGTGCCCGTTGCGGTGTCTGGCCCCTGGCTGCAGTGTCTGTGGCCCCTGGCTGCAGTGTCTGTGGCCCCTGGCTGCAGTGTCTGTATTCTGGCTGCAGTGTCTGTGGCCCCTGGTTGCGTGTCTGTGTTTCGTTTGCAGTGTCTGTGCCCCGTTGCAGTGTCATGCCCCCCCTGGTTGCAGTCTGTGCCCCCCTGGTTGCAGTGCCTGTGCCCCCTGGTTGCAGTGCCTGTGGCCCCCCTGGTTGCAGTGCCTGTGGCCCCCCTGGTTGCAGCGTCTGTGGCCCCGGTTTGCAGTGTCTGTGGCTGGTTGCAGTGTCTGTGGCCCTGGTTGCAGTGTCTGTGGCCCCCCGTTGCAGTGTCTGTGGCCCTGGTTGCAGTGCCTGTGCCCCCCTGGTTGCAGTGCCTGTGCCCCCTGGTTGCAGTGCCTGTACCCCCCTGGTTGCAGTGCCTGTGCCCCGGTTGCAGTGCCTGTGGCTGATTTGCAGTGTCTGTGGCCCCTGGTTGCGGTGTCTGTGCCCCGTTGCAGTGTCTGTGGCCCCTGGTTGCAGTGTGTGCCCCCCTGGTTGCAGTGCCTGTGCCCCCGGTTGCAGTGTCTGTGGCCCTGGTTGCAGTGTCTGTGGCCCCGGTTGCAGTGTCTGTGGCCCCTAGTTGCAGTGTCTGTGGCCCCGGTTGCAGTGTCTGTGCCCCTGGTTGCAGTGTGTGCCCCCCCCCTGGTTGCAGTCCCTGTGGCCCCTGGTTGCAGTCCCTGTGGCCCCTGTGGCCCCCGCTCCGTACCTGCACCATGATGGCCAGCCGCAGGGTCTCCTTGGCGATGTTCCCCGAGCATTTCTTGCAGGAGGCGCGGCCGCTCTTGGCATACTCGGCGCGGTACAGTTTATCGGCTGACTCGGCCATGGTGGTCCTCAGCAAAGCAGCACGCAGCCCGGAGCCCGCCACACAACGAAACAGACCCGACTGGCCGAGCGCCGAGCGCGAGAGGCGGCCACGCCACTGCAGGCATCCACTGCTCGGCGATCGATTACACCGGCCTACAGGGGGCAGGAGAGAGCGCTGAGCGAGATAACGGGCTGGGGGGGCGCCTCGTGATGACGTCACAGGGCCTGGGACTGCTGCCAGGGAGGCTTCCTTACTGTGTAACAGCACTGGCTGCTATTAGGGCACACAGGGGGGGCAAACAGGGGGGGCATGGCCTGGGAATTGGGATACTCTCAGAGCATGAGTACTACTGCCCAGGCAGGGTGCCTGTGTGATGGCTGAGTGTTGTGTGTGTGTGGTGGCTGAGTGTTGTGTGTATGTGGTGGCTGAGTGTTGTGTGTGTGGTGGCTGAGTGTTGTGTGTGTGTGTGATGGCTTAGTGTTGTGTGTGTGGTGGCTGAGTGTTGTGTGTGTGTGATGGCTGAGTGTTGTGTGTGTGGTGGCTGAGTGTTGTGTGTGTGGTGTGGCTGAGTGTTGGGTGTGTGTTCTGGCTGAGTGTTGGGTGTGTGTTCTGGCTGAGTGTTGTGTGTGTGGTGGCTGAGTGTTGTGTGTGAGATGGCTGAATTTAATGTCTGTGAGTAGGAGAGTTTGAGCGTGACTCGGTGTTGTGTGCAATGGCTGAGTGGGTGAACATTTTTAATTTGAACCCTCTCCCCCTGTAATCGTGGCTGGTTCCCTTATTTACCACTATAATGTCTTAAAGCATAGTACTTAGTACAGATATCGTAGCCATAATTTTATATAGTGTAAGAGATCCTCTATTTAACATATATAAATAATTGAGAATACAATATAAAATAAGGATTGTCTTGGAAGCAATCGTTTTGTCTTTTTGGATATTATATAAAAATATAAATCCATTATAGCAGAGTTTATAAGATTAAATTACATGCTTGCAAATATCATTAAAGGACCACTATAGTGCCAGGAAAACATACTCGTTTTCCTGGCACTATAGTGCCCTGAGGGTGCCCCCACCCTCAGGGTCCCCCTCCCGCCCGGCTCTGGAAGGGGGAAGGGGTAAAACTTACCTTTTTCCACGCTGGGCGGAGAGCTTCCTCTCCTCCTCGCCGTTTGCGCCGACACCGCGCATGCTAGCGGCGAGCTTCGGCGCATTCCAGCATCTCGAAGCATTACAATGCTTTCCTATGGACGCTTGCGTGCTCTCACTGTGAAAATCACAGTGAGAAGCACGCAAGCGCCTCTAGTGGCTGTCAATGAGACAGCCACAGAGGATTAGGGGGAAGGCTTAACCCATTCATAATTATAGCAGTTTCTCTGAAACTGCTATAGTTATGAAAAAATGGGTTAACCCTAGAAGGACCTGGCACCCAGACCACTTCATTAAGCTGAAGTGGTCTGGGTGCCTAGAGTGGTCCTTTAATAGGTTAACATACCCTTCTGAACATGTCATCATGTCAGCCTCTCTGTCATTTTAAGATGGAGCAGCTTCTGTCTCCAAGTCTCTCCTCTGTGTCTTAACATTTAAAAGTACACCTATTTATACCTTAGGTGTCTCCATTTTAGGTGACTGTAGTTCAAATATGAAAAAGTAACACTTCTTTTACTTTATTCAATTTAGGACCTCCCTTAATTTGGCAAACATACAAGGCCATAACTAAAGGGTGTATACGTCATGGAAATTTCCCTGACTTAGTTCAAGATGGCATCTTAAAGTCTGAATAGGTTATCTGTTGTTTATACTAAGTCGTAAGTGTACAGTCGTGGGAGATTCCTGGATTTGGGGAAGTTCCATTAACTTGGGATTACCACAGTATATTGTGTACTGCAAGTGTTGTAGTATAGCCTTGAAGCTTGTTTATGCATTATTGTTATTGTAATTCGTCTGGGACAAAATGGCGCAAACATATTATGCACTGAGGTTATTGCTTAACCCCTTAAGGACCGAGGACGGTTCAGGACCGTCATCGGCATTTTTGCCTTGCCGACCGATGACGGTCCTGAACCGTCCAAACGGTCTGGGGCTACTTACCTGATCGCCGTCGTTCCCCCGGCGTCAGTCATTCGGTTATTGGGGAGACTGCCTGCAGCCCAGACAGTCTCCCCACGGCAGATTAGGACACCTGTGGCCATGTGATCGCTCAACAGAGCGATCACATGGTCACAATAGGTGTCCATAGTGCTGCCTGCAGGGGGACTGTCTGTGCTGACAGGCAGTCTCCCTGCTAGTGTAAAATCAATAAAAAAATTAAAGTTAATGGTAATAAAAAAAATAATAATAATTATATATGTATAAATATGATATATAGACATATATTATATCTATATAATATATGTCTATATATCATATATATAATACCATACTAAGTGTATTTTTATATTAATATGTACTTATATTAAAATAAAAATACACTTATAATTAAATTACACACGTATATATATAATATATATAATAACTATATATATTGTATATATATATATAATTATAAAATATAAATAAGTAATTTAAATTAAATATTTTTTTAAATAATAATAAAAATTTAAAAAAAATTATATAGCTATATGAAATTTTATTCTAACTGTATTTAAAATTAATATATATATATTTATATCAAAATACACTTAGAATGAATTTGTATATATATCTATGTATATAAAAATAAATAAAAATAATAAGAAATATACATATGTCCATATACAAAATTACATAAATAATTATATAAATATACACGTAGACTTCAAATATATAAATATGCATATATATTTAAATTCTACGTGCGTATTTATGTAATATTTTTACATAATTAAGTAATTTTATTGATTGCAATTTGAGGGACCTGCCTGCCAACCCAGGCCGAAAGTCCAGAGAATTTAATTTGCTAGCACTGTATTTTACCCTGTAACGTTCTACGACACCCTAAAACCTGTACATGGGGGGTACTGTTTTACTCGGGAGACTTCGCTGAACACAAATATTAGTGATTCAAAACAGTAAAACATATCACAGCGATGATATTGTCAGTGAAAGTTACTTTTTTTGCATTTTTCACACACAAACAGCACTTTTACTGATGATATAATTGTTGTGATACGTTTTCCAGTTTTTAAACACTAATATTTGTGTTCAGCGATGTCTCCCGAGTAAAACAGTACCCCCCATGTACAGGTTTTATAGCATTTTTTAAAGTTACAAGGTCAAATATATGGGTCAAATATTTTTACATTGAAAATGGCCAGGTTGGTTACGTTGCCTTTGAGAGCGTATGGTAGCCCAGGAATGAGAATTACCCCCATGATGGCATACCATTTGCAAAAGAAGACAACCCAAGGTATTGCAAATGGGGTATGTCCAGTCTTTTTTAGTAACCACTTGGTCACAAACACTGGCCAAAATTAGCGCTCAATTTAGTTTTTTTACTTTTTTCACACACAAACAAATATGAATGCTTACTTTGGCCAGTGTTTTCGACTAAGTGGCTACTAAAAAAGACTGGACATACCCCATATTGAATACCCTGGGTTGTCTACTTTAAAAAAAATATGTACATGTGGGGTGTTATTCAGAGATTTATGACAGATAATAGTGTTACAATGTCACTATTGATAAATTTTAAAAATGTATGTTTTGAAACCGCAATATCCTACTTGTACCTATAGCCCTATAACATGCAAAAAAAAGCAAAAAAGCACGTAAACACTGGGTATTTTTAAACTCAGGACAAAATTTTGAATCTATTTAGCAGTTTTTTTCATTCGCTTTTGTAGATGAGTAAAAGATTTTTCAAGTAAAAGTCAAAAAACATGTATTTTTTTCAATTTTTCATCATATTTTTTTATTTTTTTTAAATTAAAATACATGAGATTATATAAATAATGGTATGTAAAGAAAGCCCATTTTGTCCTGAAAAAAACAATATATAATTTGTATGGGAACAGTAAATGAGAAAGCGGAAAATTACAGCCAAACACAAACACCACAAAAGTGTAAAAATATTCCTGGTCGCAAATGTACAACATCGCAAAAACAGTCCAGTCCTTAAGGGGTTAAAGAAACATCTATGAAAAACAATATGCTCCATTTCTAACACCTTGTCAATTTGCAATATCTCTTAAAGACAAAGTACACAGTTTAAGAAATACAACATTTCATTCTAAAACTTGTAATATTTGCATTTGCCCATAACACCCTCTCCATTAAACTGTGGGCATTGTAGCGCATTTCTTCCTTAAATTAGTAAACCAAAGTTCTCCAACTGTCTTTAGGTTTTTTGTGCTCCCAGCATCTTTGATCATTGTTGTAACAGTAAAATATCTGTAGTGTGATCTTTGCCTGTAAAGGTGGTTGATTAAAATGAGCAAAGCTTTTGTCTGGGAAAGAATTGAAAAGAACACCAGGTTCCAGAGTAAGATATTCCTGGATAGATCCGGATACGAATTGTAATCCAAAATTAAAAGTAGTAATTGTATTTGTAATCCAAAGTCTTTAAATGCCTGTAGAAGTTTACATTCCTTAGATACATTGCTGGAGGTTGTGTTTGTAGCATACCCGGGTATTAGTTGTTTAGTATTGGTTGTAGAGTCCAGCTTTCCAAATATTTGGCTAGAATTGGTTGAATCAGCATCATCTGTTATCACAGGTGATGGTGTTGGTATTTGTCTTTGTCTTTTTTATTTTGTTTTTTCCATGAAACATTTTTACACCGTTTATGATGTGTATAGATTGGATACTCTCCGATATTCTTTTACGGAATCAATTAATTGACAGCATTTCCAAGACATTGTCTTAAGTGACATGGATCCCGTTATAGTAAATGTTATGTTGATACAGCAATCAAAGTGGATTCTCAAGAACGCCTCTTTTTGCTGTATTGGAATCTTTGTAACATCTCAGTGATAGACATCTCACTGACATCAGGTGCTGTTGTGCTAAAAATGTTAACAGGTAAAATCTGTGGAAAAATCTTTACATTTGTTATACTTTGTATAATAATGATAGATGAAATAGTAACATAGTTAATCTTTCTAGTGTTTTGTATTAAAGATAAACACCCTTGTATATGATTTAGATATAAAGAATAATTTGAAGCAGCAAAGTATTTACCGCCCTTGTTTACAATGGTATGTAAAATT